TCAGCACCTGCAAGCATCAGGGCTGGACTTAACGCCTCCTGAACATTGCAGATGCTCTGTAGGCTAGGTCACTGCAGAAACTTGTCCATCTGTCCTCTGTAAATAATGCGAATAATATGCTCTGCTCCATTGTCCTGCTGTGTAGATACTGCATAGTGTGTTAGCCATCTGTGTATCTCTGAGACTCTCAGACAGAGGGGATGTTTTAGAGAGCAGATTGAGGGAAGCATATAGTTGAATGCTCCAGTAATGGAGTATTCTCTGGCATTACTATGTCTCTGCCAGAGGGACAACTTGGTGACATTCAGTCCCTGGCACTGAAGAACTGGAGACTGTAGTTTTCCCAGAACTTCTGAACCAAAGGCTGAAACCAGAGGAGTGGTGATATTAACTGCTGGGAGTTGTGTGAGACTTAGGGAATACTTAGAGGGGCTGAGAGTCTGCCTCTCAGTGGTTGAAAAATTCAAGCTGTTTCTATCTTGTCCTTATTAAATGCATTTTGATTTTATGCTCTAGGAAGGTAATGTATGATTTTTCCCCTTTTCTTCCTCTCCTGCACAGCGCAGGAGATGACGGAGGTCTGGGAAGGGAATTCCTGCATGTTGATTTTCTACAGAAATCTACCTCTTTCACTTTTCTTCAAATGTTTACTTGTAGCCATTCCCTTGTTTGTGTTTGAGAAAGTTTTAGGCCATGACTCCCAAATTTACCTCATGTGATCTATCAGCTTTTTGCCAGATATATGTTGTTAGGGCATCAAGATTTGCTTTTTCTTTAAATATCTGAGCAATATACTCCAGAATTCTTCCCATGGAAGATCTTAAAAGAAAGAACACAGTTACGAAGACAGTGGGGAAGGAGATAAAACCCAGAGCCCAAAGATGAAGAGACTCCGAAAGTTTGTAGCCTAAACTACCTTGTGAAGTTGAAAGGATCACTGAACAAACTAAAGAGATCAAGCTAACAGGATCACTGAACAAACTGAACAGGCTTCTGGTATGTCAGCGTTTCTGAATGAGAAGTTGTCATTAGCCCTCAACGTAGCTGTCCCTGCTAAAGGTAACTTGGTAAATGACCTTTTGCTGAGCTGGTTCTTGTACAGTTTCAGGTGTAGCCCCTGAAGATGTTTTTATGCTTTTATATGCATTAGAAAGCTAGTGTTCATTTCCTGGTCAAAATCTCCCCGGGGTATTTTTATTCTCCATTAACATTCCTTCTGGGGATTGAATTCGGGTCCTTTGCTTCCTGCCCTTTTCCTGTTCAGATGTTAATCAGCTGTTGCATTCTATTCCAGTTACGTGTTAGCAATGTTAGTGTTTCTTGGGCAATGTTGACCTGTCCTGGCTTTTATAAAAGGGTTAGAAAAGCTAAGCTACTCTAAGCTTACCTTAGCAAAGAGTAGATAATAAAATGCATAGTTAAGGGTATGGAGTGCAGTTGAATTAGGGGAACTGAGATCTTTGGATTGTGGAAGGAGGGAACAGGACTGTAAGAAAAGTGTGATTCCGATAACTTTTAAGAGAATTCTGGATGGTGCAGTGGATATGACAGATACATGATATGTCCTGTGGTATTTCCATTCAACAAGAACTATGTACAAGTGGAGTCCAGGGATTTCATTTTCTTTGGAAATGTTAGGTGTTAAGTAGAGCTTGTTACATGGACTGTTGTTCAATAGCTAGCCTGATCCCTTTTTCCTGTTAGCTCTTGGAATTGTTCCCATGCAGGCAACAGAGGTTTCTGCCTAACAGTCAAGGTTAATTGGTATGGAAAAGAAGGAATGAGCAATAATCCTTCTGAAACTCAATTTTAATCCAAGAGTCACTATAATGCTATTACTCAGATCTGAATCGTGAGCATTAACGTACAAGCAGAACTGTGATGTGAGTCTCTGCAGTAGGAGCTGTCATCCTTTTCTTTTAAAATGAGCTTCAAAGAAGCCAGCAGCAAAATGGATCTGAACATTCTTTTGAGATGCCTTATCTGAATGAAAAGATCTCTCTTTTTAGATGTTAAAGTGCCCTTTGATAACCTTACAGTCCTTTCCCACTGTACCTGGCACCAGCAATCTACAGGTGCTTTTTTTAACTTCACATAGCTTGCTTTTCTGTCCTGGAGAGACATCCATTGATGCAGTTATTGCATCATCCATCTCATGGATTAGTTGTCTTGGTCAGGCTTACTGCAGTAGCTTCTCACAAAGTCTGGCTTGAGACTTGTGAAAGCTAAGGTTGCCTTTATCCATAAGCACAGGAAGATAGCTGGACAAGTCTCTCTTGCTTCTGCTTCTCCTGATGCTGGTGAGGAGACATTGTTGTCTCCTAAAGCAGGCTGGGCCAGTATCCTGTATTGGATATGCATGCAGAGTATAGGTTGGCCCACAGAGTGTGAAAATTCTGGGTTAATTCTGGTGATCAGATATGTGGCACGGGACATTTGGGTTTTTTTACTTGTGGGTATTGCACTTGCAGGTTTTTGGAGTGCACTGACTGTGATAGCCACTACAGAATCTTTCTGTAGTGTTGCATTAGAAACAAATGCAATTGTGTTATGAAATGTATTTTCTCAGTTATACAAGTTTACCCATCTGAATAAAAAGCAAAGTTAAAGAAATGCTGCTTGTAACAGGAAAAGGCTGGAAAGATGATACAGTACCTGACATAAGGAACATTCTCATAATCACCATATTTCTGTTGAGGAAGTGAGGCTGCTGCTTATAAGGTCAGAAAAGGCAACAGAAGAGAAGGTGATGATAAGGAAAACCCTGCAAGTCCTCTGCCTCTTTGCAGAGAATGTTCACAGTTGCTGCAACAGCAACCAGGCAGAAACTGTGTGCATCCTAAAACCACAGTTAAGTATTAGCTACCTCAGGCTTCAAGGGATTTGCCAAATATCAGGAAGACAGTAGGTGCCTGAAAATGTTGCCTTTTTTTTTTTTTCTTGTTCTTTCCCTTTTTGTCCAAAGAATTCCTTTTTGGACCTTTTTTTCTCTGCTGTGAAACTCTTTCTTGTTACTGAAGACAAAATGATGCTCATGGGCAGTGTTGTGGTTTTGTATGCTTGCCAAGTGGCTGCTTATTCTGTACAGGGCCCACAGAACTGTCTCAAGCAATTCTGTGCTAGATGACATCTGTTTCTGGTGTGTGGTAAAGGTTTTTCCATTCTCAGATCACACAGAGAACGTAGCTACTCTGCAAGTGGATTTTACACTGAGGGATGCTTTCTGGTAAAAACAACTGGAGTCAAGCTTTTATGCTGCCTCTGCAGCTGCACTCTGCTGCTGTGTCGTGGTTTAATCCCAGCTGGCAACTAAGTACCATACAGCTGCTTGGTCACTCTCCCCCCGCTCCCAGTGGCATGGGGAGGAGAACTGGAAAAAAAGTAAAACTTGTAGGTTGAGATTAGAACAGTTTAATAATTGAAAAAAAGGAAAATATAGTATTAATTGTAATGGAGAGAGGAGAGAGGACTACAACCCAGGAAGAACAATGCAGTTGCTCACCACCCACTGACCAATGCCCAGCCTGTCTCTGACGAGTGATCAGCCCCTCCCAACCAGCTCCTCCCAGTTTATGTTCTGAGCATGACGCCATATGGTATGGAATATTCCTTTGGCTAGTTCAGGTCAGCTGTCCTGACTATGCTTCCTCACAGCTTTTTGTGTACCTCCTCACTGGCAGAGTGTGAGAAACTGAAAAGTCCTTGAGTTAGTGTAAGCACTGCTTAGTAGCAACTAAAACATCAGTGTGTTATCAACATTATTCTCGTCCCAAATCTGAAATGCAGCACTGTACCAGCTATCAGGAAGAAAATTAACTTTATCCCAGCTGAAATGAGGACACACTGTCACTGCACTCCATCACTGTGAAGAGGAAAGAGGCTGTGCGTGTTTTGTCTTTGTGAGGGGGTGGAGGAATCCTTAGCTCTTTGCATTAACAAAGCAAAATGTTAAGTTTACACTGCAATTTTCTGACCCTTAGTGTGTTCGTGTGTTCTGCCTGGAAGATGTGACTAATGTTCATGCTGGTCATTGTGAGTCTTGAGCCCTCAATGAGCCATTCCAGTGAAGCTGTAACTGCCAGTGAGCTTAGAAATCAAACTGGAACTACAGTAGGGAAGTAGTGGGTAAGCTAGAAGAGTAGAATTGGAGCTACTGCAGGCAATAGAGTGCTAGGAAAAGGACTGTAAATGCTAAGGAGCGTTACTGATGAGAGGTGGAAAAGACAGATAAAAGGAAGCAGGAGGTTGAATTTCATCTTGTATTACAGTGCTAATTAGAATAGCTGAAGAGCTGCCTCCTGCTGTAGCTCCAGGCTAAAATTGAGCTTCTGCAGGGTAGTCATAATGTGGACTTGACAGCAAGCTCCTTCAGAGAGAGGCTTGTGGATAGCATGATGAGCAGAATTGGTGCCTTCTTCTATTTATGGATATTACCTATATCCATTTCTGCTGTGGAGCACAAGGTCCATCTGTTCTGCAGAGAATATCTGCTCCACTCTGAACAGAGGTGTGGTGAATTGAACCACTCCAGGATTCTCTGTCTGTGGTAGCAAGGGATACTCAGGTATTGTAGGCGAGGAGGTCTTTACTGTGCTGTTCAGTGCAGGGATATCTGCAGAACAAAATTAGATTGGTGTGGCAGAGTGATTGGAGCAGAATGACAGGCCGGATTCTTGATGTTGGATGGGAATGCAGGTGGGAAAGCAGGGACCCCTGGAGCCATCTAGAAAAAACATCTGTTTCCAAGGTCAGTTACTGGTCTGCACAGGTATCCTGCGCAGTGGAGAGATGGCTGGAAGACTTTTCCTTTCTGGGATACAGTGAAGATATGGGGCTTTTACTGTGGAGGGACCTGGCATTAGATAGTAGCCTGATGGTGCAGCAGTTTGCTGTTGACTCGTGCCCTGGCACCTGGCTGTGGGTTGCTCTGCGCATGCCTGGTTGTTTTCATGTTTTGTGCTATAGGTGACTGACACCAAGTTTCCTTTCTCATGTTTCAGGAGCTGTTGGCCAGATGCTGCTGGATGCTAACAGGGGAAAGCTGACTTGGAGGCAAGCGACCAGAAATGTTTGGACACGTCGTCACTTTGCATCTGTAAGTCCTTGTTTGAGGGAAAGTTGCCTGGAGGCACTGTGAGTTTTTAAGTGTTTGGAAATTCTCAGATCATGAGGGTAGGTTTCAAATCCAGTTATCTTTTCCAAGTAAGTGGGAATGAGATAGCAGGTAGCATAGTTGCTGCCTCTGGGGTAGGAACCAGGACAGTCCTGTTTTAGCCTGAGGAACCGTGTGCTGAGAGACAGGGAGGCCTTTGGCATGTTTGTTCTGAGCACAGCTGCAATGGAAACATGGGTGCAGCTGTTCCTGGAAGCCTCCTTTTGTCTGCCAGCCCATGTGGCTGGTGGTTATGCCTCAATGCTGCTGGGAGTTGGTGGAAAAGCAGATTGAAACTATGCTGGCCCGGTCCTTCCTGGAGGTTCACGTTCTCCCTCTCCCTTTTTCCCCCCATACTTTACAGTTTGCCCCACAGAGCAGTTATGCTGTTGTGAAGCTGTTTTTCCCTGTGCTAGTTGAGACCCGACTCTAGCATTATAGTAAGGAAAGGGGCCAGACAGCTTGTTGGGACAGGGCCAGCACTTGGGCAGCTCTTCAGTTTGTTTTGGCAAAGCTTGAGTTTGCGTGGTCCTGGTTGCCTGCCTGTTCCATTCACCTTCGATCTGACTTTCCCTGTGTGTGTACAACTGCTCCACACCCTGCGCTCCTGTCCCGCCTCCCAGGGCTTGGTGCCATTGACAAGGGAAAAGTAGCACAGCAGAAGTGCATCACGGAAAGGAAGGCTTCACTGCAATCTCTTTCGTGTCAGTGGCAGAGTGGTGGCCACAGAGCTACATTCTTGCAGCTGGCTCCCAGATTAACTCAGTTCTCTTCTTGTATTGGTGGGTACCTGTCATGGTTTGATTCCAGCTGGCAACTAAGCACCACACAACTGTTCACTCACTGCTCACCCCTCAGTGGAATGTGGAGAGAATGGGGGAAAAAGTAAAACTTGTGGGTTGAGATACAGACAGTTTAATAGGACAGAAAAGGAAGGGATAGTAATGAAAGAATTGGAGTGTTCAAAACAAGGGATGCACGATGCAATTGCTCACCACCTGCTGACCAATGCCCAGCCAGTTCCCAAGCAGTGGCCCTTGCCAGCTTTTCCTCTTGTTTATATACTGAGCATATGCTCAGTGTGCTGACACCATATGCTATGGAATATCCCTTTGGACAGTGGGGGTCAGCTGTCCTGGCTGTGTCCCCTCCCACCTTCTTGTGCCTTGCAGCCTACTCACTGGTGGGGTGGTGTGAGAAGCTGAGAAATCCTTTCCTTACTGTAAACACTGCTTAGCAACATCTAAAACATCAGTGTGTTATCAACATTGTTCTTATCCCAAATCCAAAGCACAGCACTGTTCTAGCTACTAGGAAGAAAAATAACTCTATCCTTCACAAAACCAGTACAGTACCCAAAACCAGTACATATGCCCAAAGCAAGGGCTTTGAACAGAGAAGAAGGTTGTTTCTGAACTTGTATTGTGTCCCTGGTGGCCTGGATAAGATTTTACAGAAGCCTATTAGCAGCAAGGTAAGGTTTGATATGCTTGATGCAAGTCAGAGAGTAGCTTGCCTTCCTCTAGTAGAGGTGTGGGTTATCACAGCTGTAGGCATGAGGACGTAATGTTTTGGCTTAAACAAGAGTGTAATAATTGCCAGCTCATTTGTGAGTGGGAAGCACTGACTTAAAAGGATGAGTGAGGTAACTGTTAGCATTACCAAACTTCTGTACTGAAGGCTTCACAGTTAGCATCCCTCTGCAGTGGTGGGGAAGATTAGCTGGGAGGGGGTCCCATTCTATAGGAGATTTGATTAGTCCTTCCTGGAACCAAGTTTCCTTGAAGCTATTGCTTCAAGGAAATAGCTATTGCTATTGAACATGTCCTTGCCAGGTGCCTTTCCAGCTCTTGCTGGGCTATGTGGCCAACTATTCTAAGTTCATTTTCTTTACTTTCAAAAGATCCAATGTGGATTTGGGCAGGTTCCTGGAGTGAGGTGGCCGTCTAGTTGTCCTCAGTTATAAATATTCCCTATTCCTTACATATTTCAAAGGTTTTTTTGTGGTGGATGCTAAGCTATTTGTTTCTCTTCTTCAGGGCATCTGAGTGAGTGTCCCTGCTTCATGCGGCTTCAAATTTGAGCCCAGGCTGGTAAGTGCTCATGTCCTTAAGAACTAGAGAAATGACTGTGATTTCAGCTTGGGATATTTCCATGCACATCTGCTGTCCCTAGCCTGTAGGGAATTGACAGATGGGTTCCCTAGTTCACCTCTTTGATAGTGGGGTGTTTACAAACCTGCTTCTAGTCAGGTTTTCAGCATTTCTCTTTGAAAGAAATGTCTTCCCAGCAAATCAGACTATCTGTTTTGCTTGGGGATGCAGTGAAATGTGATTCAGTATGCTGGATGTGATTTTTCTAAAGTATTAGAGACTTCATACTAAACTAATACTAAACCACGACAGGTACCCATCAGTACAAGAAGAGAATTGGGTTACTCTGGGAGCCAGCTGCAAGAGTGTAGCTCTGTGGCCACCACTCTGCCACTGACATGAAAGAGACTGCAGTAAAGCCCTTTTTTCTGTGGTACACTTCTGCTGTGCTACTTTTCCCTTGTCAATGGCACCAAAACTGAGCCTGTTCAGGAGAAGGGACCTTGAGGGAATAACTGCAGCAAGGGGAAGTTTTCCAGTATTTTTATGGGGGAGATTTACAGGTTAGTCCTAGGAAGTTGTTTGTGTTTGTGGAAAGGTGTGAGAAACTTTTGTGAGCTTGTATTTATGGCAGAGTGAAGGACAGTTTGCACATGTCCCTGTGAAGTGTAAAGCCTGTTATGGCTTGGAGCCAATCTGTGCTTGGTGCAGCCACCTCACACTTGCCAGTCCTCTCAGGGGACTCAGTCTAAGTGTCAACAAGATGCAGCTAGGTGAGAGTGGTTAAGAATTGGAGAGAATTCTTGGGGCTCCATTTAGACTCTTAACATGTAAAATCCCACTATCCAATACACAAGTGAAGTCTGATAGGTCACTGGCCCAGTGGTATCCATTGACTCCAGGTATGTGACTGGGAGTTGCATGGCCCTGCTTATAGAAGAGGGGAGAGTGTGATCTGAGTTGATGCGGGTCCTGCACTTTGAAGTGTTGCAGGTCAGGTGCTGAGGATTGCAGAGATGCTAGGCTTGATCAGTGTTAGGATCCTGCAGGGGAAAGGGGAATGAGAATTGGGCATTTGCTCCAAATATCGGGCAACCATGAATGTTGTCATCAAGGAAAGGCTCTGCAGCATCTACTTGGCATCTCCGAGACTTCTTGTGTACAATAGGGTAGTTGAAATTCTGACTGCTTGTAGGGAAGTCTTCCTGCCCACTACTGCAGACCCAAAAAACTGGAAAGAAAGGTGTTTCTTCCATGTGTACAAGATAGCTGCTTTTCATCTACCCTATTTTTTGCTCTTGTACTGCTCCTGTGGCGGAAGAATCCTGCCCAGCATGGCTGGGGTAAAGGGATTAATCTTCCCACTAGTACTGCTGCACGTCTATATACTGTGCACTTATGCACTCTAAGGGTGGTGAGGCACTGGAACAGGTTGCCTAGAGAGGTTGTGGACTCCCCATCCCTGGAGGTATTCAAGGCCAGGCTGGATGCAGCTCTGAGTAACTTGGTCTAGTGGCAGGTTCCCTGCCCGTGGCAAGGGGTTGGAAGAAGATGATCTTTGAGGTCCCTTCCAACCCAGGCTATTCTGTGGTTCTGTGTTGCAAAATCTGGCCCTAGGAACTAACATCAATGACATTGTTCCCTAATTTGATGCCACCTCTGACTTGGGGGTTGTCTTTGTCTTTTCTGAGAGAGTGAGCAGTTCTGTGGTACCTCTTTCTGACAAGTCTCCTATGGTCTGCTGCACTGGGACTCCAGTGTAAACCAAAAAGTTCTGGGTTTGGGCTCTTTAATGGCTGAAGTCTCCTCCCACATAGTCCCTGCTGACAGTGACAGGACATGATCAATAACTCCTGCTCCAGCTGTCACTGCTGCCTGTGAGGCTTGCAGTTTCCATATTGAAAAAGGCCTTTCCTAAAGAGCCTAATCAATATGCTGCTGTGAGGTCTGTTCTCATTTGCTATATATAATCCGGACACACACAAACTACGTGAGTGAGCGTGTGTAGAGGGGGGAGAGGATGTGCCAGTCCTCTGCTCTCACTGGCTGGGAGAAGGACACAGCTACCTCTTACTTTGCTCCCTCTCCTGCAGCTGCTGCTCAAGGCTTGTGGCTACATCCTTTCACTGCTCTATTAGCACTCTGCATGGGGACGTGCTCTGGGACTCCAGGGGAGCTGAATTCCTGCTGGGTCACTCATAGGTCTCGATGGAGCACCCGTGACTCTCTCTTCTGTGCACTTTCTGCTGTTGGTAGGTAACCCGCTTTCAGAGCCACGCAGGTGGGAGGATGTCGAGCACAGCTCCGTCAAAGAAGCCTTACCGCAAGGCGCCCCCGCAGCATCGCGAAATCCGCCATGAGGTACCCATCATTCGTGACGACCAGGACGGAGTGATCTTGGCTGAGCAGAGTCAGGTAACAACTTGCCGGGTGACAAAGGGCTTAACACCATTGCACCAGCAAACAGGGTTTAGTTACACCGAGGCAGGCCAGCTCGAGCAGGCAGAGGGGTTTGAGGTTTGCAACCTGAACTTCTCCTCATCGTGGTCCCTGGAGTCCAGCAGTGAGAAGGAAGTGGCAGGGTGCAGAGCAGAGCTGAACATCAAGAGCCAGACTGTCTCGCCAGCACTTCCACGTAGTGGGAAGATGGGGCAGCGAAGCGGGAAGCGGTGCCCAAACCGCAGTCGTGGGCACCGCAGCAAATTTGTGAGCCGTAGCATGGAGACAGTGCTGGTGTCTGGAGACGAAAGACACCGTCCCACTTGCTCTTTCAAGAGCAGAAGCCTGGAACGCTCACTTATATTTAAAGAGCCTCCTGAAGTCCTGACTCCGAGGAAGTTTCGTGTCTCATCTACACACCTGCCTCTCAAAGGGATCCTGAAGCAGACCAACATGACAGGCTCATGTCCTGAGAGCTTATGCAAGTCCTGCTCAGTAGAGACACTTTGCCGTGGCCATGGCTCACGCAAGTACAGTGATCCTCAGCTCTGCCTCAGCCCTAGGGAGAAGCGCTCCCTGGAGCACAGCAGCAGCAGTGCCGCTGACTCTGTCAAGCGCAGGGAGAAGATCACAGAGGAAAAACTGCAGTTCTCCAAATTCCTGGATGAGATTACCAAGCGGGTGCTGAGTCCCAACCGCTTGCGCTCACTGGGAGAGACTAGGGGAGCAGCACAAGACCAGAACTCTCCCCTTTTCCCCAGAAGCTCCGTGCCAGAAGGCCAAGGGGAAGGTCACCTGCAAGGGGTCAAAACCAAGCATGCAACTGAAAGATCCCCCTGCCCAAGCAGAAGAAAAACAGAAAAGAAATGTGAGGGACTGGGAATGGCTTCGGGCCTGAGAAAGTGTGCTGAGGAAGCTGGGAGAGTTTCCAGACTAAGAAAGAAACCTGTCCTTGGGAGGAAGGACAGTAAGGGAAAACTTTCCTTGGAGAGAAGGGTAGTAGATCTGTGTCAGTATGAGCTGCAGCAGCTGGCAGACCTGGGGCTGGCAGGGACATCCTCTGGGCAGCAGCATTCACTGTCTTCATGGAAAATCAGTGCAGAGGGCAGAAGGGATGAAAGCAGTCCCTGTTCACGGCTATTACAGCCACACCATCAGTGTGCTAAGCTTGGGCAGAAGCGTGCAGTGGAGCCGAACTACCCAGAGAAAGGATCCTGCTCCACTCCAACACACTGGAGTCGGGAGGAGGGGCCTACCCCATCTAGATCCTCCCCTTCATTCAACCTGGCACTAAACAAGGTAGGTGCCAGGGTCACCAGCTTGCAGACAGGGGTCTCACGGAGGCCAAAGCCCCCACCTGGATTTCATCTAGTCTGTAATGCCACTGGGGAAAGTGAGAGCAGGCCCCCAGACCTCATGTTGTGGGTGCTTAATGACCAGAAGCTGCTCTCTAGTGGGGGTGCCACTCATGGCTCTGCTACCAGTTGGGTATATCTTCCTGGGTGTAACCAGCTTCCCTTTAGCCCCAGGAGTTAACGAAAGTAGAAACTGGCGCTGTTCTCACCACTGCAGACTTCCCAGGTGTTTACTGGTTGAAGGCCCTTTAGGCTCTGGGACAGTAGGCGTGTGCAGGAGGCAGGCAGCTCTGTTGTCAGGAGGGGCTGGGATGCTCCTGGTGCTTTGTGTGTGCCCTGTGCCTGGTATCTTGGGGTACTGGATGTTGGCTATTCCAGGTCATGGATTAGAGAGTGCAAGGTAAGAGAAAATAGCGGAGCCACGTGCTCTTGTCACTGCTCCGTGTCTCCTTTTTCTGCAGGATCCCGCTCCAGCCATCTCTGGGGATCTTGCCCATAACGTTAATTTCTTTTACAGGCTTTTCTGATCTTTGGTGTTTCTTCTGCTGTCCTAGAATAGTTACGGTGGCTGGTTTCAGGTCTGCAGAAAGAAACCTTTTTCACAGCAGTGGTGTAAATGGTAGCCACATTTTTCAGCTCCCAAATGATTCTCTCTCATGCTTTTTGTGGGTCTTCAAGGGCCCCACAAGTGATTGCTGTGGTGAAAATTTAATCCTGTGTATGCTGGCCTGTGAGATTCCTGCTACCCACTAACTGTGGATGTGGAGGAAGCTGAAACACCAGCTAAGGTGATGATTTTACAAGAGATGCTGAGATTACACCCTGGGAGGGTAAACTTACCTAACTTGTACGGTGGTTTCTAGTCTGGCTCTTCTGCCCTGAACCAGAACACACAGTCTGTTTTGGTATTATACGTCTGAGCGATGTGTGTACAGATCCTTGTAGCCTAGTATGACCTGTCAGAGCAGGTGAGGAGGAGTCACAGATAGGGTCTAGCAACCAAGACTGCCCTTTAGGATAGCATGAGAGACCAACTCCTCATCTGAAATAATCTCACAGCTGTTTTCTTTCCTGTGCAGGAACCCTTGACGGATGCAGAAAGGATGAAGTAAGTGTCCCAGTCCCTCTTTATGTCTGTCATACTGCAACTGTGTGGGTGCTGATTCCTCATATCCTGCCTGTGCCACCTGCACAGCGAAGCTGACTGGATCTGTGGGCTCCTTTCAGATCTTCAGTCATCTTGGGGCTCTGTGGGCAGAGCTTTGGTCTGTGCCTTGCCAAGCTCTGCCTTGCATGTCCGTCTCCCTGGAGGAGGAGGAGGGAACATAGACCTCAGTGCAGGTGCAGGCAGAGGAGTTGGTGGGTGTGAAAGAAAGGTAGATGAAGTCTTTAATACAGGTGGAGATAGGAGTGCATTTTTTAATCCTTGTTGTTGTCCCGGTGTAAGCCACCAGAAGCAGTATGCAGAAGCCTGCTGCTGACTGAGGGTGAGAACTGAGCCCTTTGCTGGTGGTGCTGTGGGACATAGACAGCTGCTAGCACTGAGCTCCAGGCCATAGTGAGGAGAAAGCTTGCGCTGCCAGAGAGAAGCTGTGCTTCTGGGTTTCTCCAAGCAACTGAGCACAAAGGAATGAAAAACAACAGGAAATACTTCTGACCAGCAGACATGTCCTGGGCTGGGGAGGAATGGAGCAGTTTGTGTTGCAGTGGGGTTGACCAGCTGTGGTCACATCTGTAGATGCACCCCACCACCTCTGCTTCCGGGTTTAAGGCTATATGGAGTCCTCTTTCCACCATGTATTAAAGGTGTGAGGGATTTTGGTTCAGGAGTGGAGAAGATGATTTTGCTCTTCTTGCTTTTAACTCTTCTAACCTGGACTGGGATAAATTATTGAGTGGTTTTCATTCATCAGTGAGGGACACTGGAGCTGCACAGCTCATCTGTCTAGTGAGCTTTATCCAAGCACTGTAACCTGAGAGGGAGCTGGGAGCCATGGCTGACCAGCTGGCATGTGCTTCTTTGCCCCTGCTGCAAGAGAGTTTGAGTGTCTCTTGACAGAGATGCACCTCTTGCTTCATGTGCTGGAGTCTCCTGACAGTTTAGTTCCTGACATCTCAGAGCCCCTGTGCGGGGCATTGGGCCCTAGTGCAGAGCAGTGGGGTGGGGTTGCTGGTGTGGAGTACCCCTTGTGCAATTCAGTGATACCTTGTTCCTATTCCTGCCCCAGGCTACTGCAGCACGAGAATGAGGAGCTTCGTCGACGGCTGACGTATGTGACGAACAAAATGGAGGCCATGGAGAGGGAACTGGAGTCAGGTCAGGACTACCTGGAAATGGAACTGGGCCAGAACCGTGAGGAACTGGAGAAATTCAAGGACAAATTCCGTAGGTATGAAAAGGAGAACAAAAAAGGGGTAGAGTTAGAGATCCTTCCACTGAGGACTCCCTCAGCGAGTGGTAGCAGGCTGTGCTCTGTGGTGTAAATCAAAAGTATGCTGCATCCTCCAAGATGTGCACCTCCACACTGTAAGGGGGGAGCTAAAGGCTCGACAGCCGTTATTTTCTCCAGGATACAGTGTAGGAATGCTGCCAGCATGAGAGGCTGACAACAGGGAATTCTTCATCTATTCCATGTAAGGCAGGATCCAGCTCGGATGGTTACCCCACATGTGCAAAAGAAGCCACCGATGGCTGCAAGAAAGTACATCACTGCTTCACCTGAAAAGTACCTCAGTTAAAAATCAGTACCAATCACTGGTCATGTGCTTAGATATGACATAGATCAGAGGAGTCCTCCAAAGTAATTTACATCCTCTCCTGCAAGATCCTTTCACCCAGCCAGCTTCATCTTGCCTCCAGTAACTTGGGGTCTGAAAGCCCCTGTGTGCTAGAGGTAAGGCATAGCTAGTATGCCTGGTTGTCTTAGCAACAACCTTTATGGAGTTTTGGAGCTGATGGTTTGTTTGGCAGCTATGAACGTGACTTGACCAGGTGCCTGTGATCCATTCCCATGCTTACAATCTTGTTTCTGTAGGTTGCAGAACAGCTACACTGCTTCCCAGAGAACCAATCAAGACCTGGAGGAGAAGCTGCATGCCCTGGTAAGTGCCCTGTTAAGTCACTATGGCAATCAGGTGGAAGAGACCTGTTAGTTGGAAGCAGATGGGGGAAAGGGGCCCTGCCTTTACCCAGCAGATGTGGCAATGGGTGAGGGATGAGATTCGGGCTGTGACCATCTACTCCCCATTCTAGCTGGTGTCATGAACTGTTTTCTTGATTTATTGAGCCCCTACTTGGTTGTGCACGTGAGCTTTGGTTCCTCACAACATAACTGCATGGTATTCCGTCATGTTGCTTCAGTCCGTCTCAAAATGCCAGGGATGTGTCAGCCAGTCTTGGGGTGGTCATCCTGGGAGGACGGGAGCAGTCAGAGCAGAGCCAATGTGCCTGTATGTCTGTTGTGTGCATTCATAACACTCATGGCTGTTTCTTTTCTCTCCCTCCCCCTCTCTCTCTCTCTTTCTCCTCCCCACGCTGCCGCTGGCACACGCTGGGCGCACTCGCCTCTCAGGCCTCTCTCAGCCAAAGCTGGATTTTTGCAGTTGCGTCTTTTCGTTTGTGTGTTTTTTCTTTTTCCTCTTTACGTGTCTCAGCCTGTTGGTTTCATTGTCAGTCCCACATATACCATCCCAGATGAAGGGGCCTCAGCCCTCGTCCAGCCAAGGGCTCACCTGGTATCCAGCAGCTGCCCACAGATGCAGCAGGTCCTAGCTTGCAGTGCTCCATCTTAAGAGTGTTTGACTCTGAGCCAGCTGGAGCATGGCGTTGTTGGGAAGTGGTGCCCATAAGCTGCGGCACTGCACAAGATGTGGATGGCTGTGAGCCTCGTTTGCTCCCTTTCCTTCCCCTTCTGGGCTGTGAGCAGGCAAGTCAAATAGCTGAGATGGTGATTGCCTCTGTGTAGCCCAGGGTGAGATTTCTTTGGTTCTAGCATGTGAATTTCTAGGGTTAATATTCATTACTCAATTATTTATTGTGCTGGTGCCTGAAGAGACTGCACATTCAGGAAGTATTTCCTCTCGTACCCCCTTGCGTGTCATTGTGCTGTACCCCTGACACATAGCTGGGCCCTGGTGGCCACAGCCTTACAGCACCTTTGGCCAGTTTGGAAGAACTTCTTGAGACAGTGATGGCTTGGAGCTGTTGCCCCTCTTTGCTGTTACATCTAGGTCTCTATCTGCTCTGTACCTGAACTGTTAGGAAGTCTAAAGAGGCAAGATTGCCTGCTTTAGGGATGGCATTAGTTGAACTCCAGATGATGCTACACAGGTCCTTTTAGTTGCTCTTTACTAGAGCAAGGCTTAAACTCTTTCAAGATGGTGCCTTCCTCCTGCAAAAAAAGCCTTTTTGTCCATTCAGCATTGATGGCTGGATCTTTTTGGGCAGTATTCTTGTTCTGCTGCCTCAAGGAAGATGGCTGGGTATTGCAAGCTCAGAGGTCTTTGCTACGAGTTGGCAGGTTGGGATTGATTGCTCAAAACCACTAGCTTTCTACCAGGCACCATGGGAACAAGGACAGAGGGGAAACATGCTAGTGCTGCAAGAAGAGATACTGCATTAAGGAGGTTCAAACTCAACCTTGTTGTCTCTGTAGCTAGCAGAATGGCTGGTTCCATTTGGCCTTTGGAATCCCTTCCCTTTGAAGAGGGTTTTCTCCCTTATCTGTCTGTCTGGAAGTTTTTTGTGTCCCAGCTGCACATGTCATTGTGCTATGCTTGGACTGAGGTGGGTGGTGAAGCCAGGTTCTTCTGTGCTAGGGAGTTTTACACCTGGTGTTCTTGCATCCCAGATTAAAAAGGCAGAAATGGACCGCAAGACGCTGGACTGGGAGATTGTAGAGCTCACTAATAAATTGCTTGATGCCAAAACCACCATCAATAAGCTGGAGGAACTCAATGTAAGTGTCAGTCTGCAAATGGCTGTGGAAGTGTGTGAGGCGGGGGCTTTTCCTTTGTTCAAAGTCATCAGTGGAAAGGAGCATGTGAATATTACTCCAGTGTGTATGAAAGCGTGGGAGCTGTACACAACAGTAGGGAGACAAACAGAAAAGGGTCTGAGGGGTTGAGCAGGAAAGAACTCATCTTCAGGTTTGATGTATTTGCTCTTTTGAGCTTAGAGTTTGACCTGAGTCCAGCTTGAACCAATGGAGCTGAGAGGGAGATGGTGCCTTTTCTACACCATTAATAATAAAGAAGTTTCTGGATCCAATGCTTGATTCTTTTAACTGCTCTCAACTCCCTCCAGTCTGTCTGCATCATCAGGCACGGCTGAGAGCTGTGGGATGGGATAGCAAATCTGGTGGGACTTTTGGAGATTATTAAAATCCCCAGAGGGAGAGGGGGTTGATAGCTGATACTCTGACAGAGTATATGGTGGGAGCAAGGACTGGAGCTGAAAAGGACACCTTGGCTAAGTTGTAAGAAAATACACAGGGGTGTGGGGAGGGGGAAATGACAGGTGCCCTCAGGAGCGATTCATCAGATGCCTCCTCTGGCTTCTGTTCAAGCAGCATCCGGTCAGGTGGGACCTTTTTGGATAAGAGATCAGGCCAGTCTAACACTGTTGCACACCTGTGCCCTCTCTTGCAGGAACGCTATCGACAGGACTGTAACCTTGCAGTACAGCTGCTCAAGTGTAACAAGTCTCACTTCAGGAACCACAAGTTTGCCGATGTGAGTAGCAATCCTGCTGAGGTGGGGAAGAAGGGCTGCATCTTACTTTCTCCAGTTTTCTCCACAGGGCTGCTGGCTTCTCATCGTTCAGCCTCAGAGGTGGGGGGAGGCTTCTGTTCCCACTCCCACTGAGAAGGCAGCACAGACCTTCTGCCAGCTCCTCTTTCATGACAGCTCCATTTCACAGTTCAGCCAGGAGCTGTTATAAAAAGCACAATAACCTTGAATTTGATATCCTGCTGGGTGTGTGCTGGGAGCTGGCAGGAGGACAGATCTCTCTCTTACCCTGCTCCATCCTTTTCCTTTCCTCACCTGGCCACATGGAAGGGCTTCATAAGGAGTCAAGCAGCAGTAGTCTGGCCTGGCTTCACTTATTTCCCTGAGGAGAAATGTGTGAGGCAGCATTCAGGGTGTCTTCTAGGCCTTCTGAATAGAAGTTCATGCCAACTTATACTCCCCCTTGTGGGGGGGAATGGTATCGGGGAGGGGAGTTCAGCTCATCCTGCCCTCAGGATGAGCAAAGATGCGGCTTAGGTCTTCCACGTTAGTAGCATCACTTGTTTGGTTGAAAGTATCATTCAAGCCCTTACCCCCGCTCTCTCCTTGCCACACCTCTAGTCTCTGTCCCTTCTTGTTTTCCTCTCAGCAAAACCACATGCATGTCTTTTTTAACTTAGCAGGTGACCAATATGTCACCCTCCCCCATTGTGTCTCAGATTAGCACTCTTGAGGTCAGTGTATCAGTTACTGCTGGGGTAACCTTGACCTCTTTCCCAGCTGTCTCTCCTCTCTGGAGCTTTGAATTCTGCGCCCCAGAGCGCTATGTCCCATGTGACTGCCACTGGAGGGGGTTTGGTGCTGAGCAGCTGTGCAGACAGCCTGCCTCACAGCCAGCTGTTGTCATGCAGTGTGCCCTGTGTCCCGGGCTTTGGATGCAGTTTCCTTCTGGCTGTGACGGGACAGACCTTGCTATGCCACTGAGTGGCTTGGGGGGGACCTCTGCTCTCCAGTTGATGCTGTGCATGCATGTGGTGACCAAGGTGAGGGCAGCTTGGCAGGGTGATGGGGAAAGCAGTAGTGCCCGTTTTCAGGACAAGGGGTGGTGCTTACACCCTGGCAAGACCCCAGTCTTGCAACTTCGGTAATAACGCCACATTTGCCTCTCTGAAATGGAGAGAGCAAGGAAGTGGGGTGACATGGTGGAGTTGGTTGGAACAAGGGAAGGCATCGATCCTGGTCTGCGGGCAGGCTGCCAGGGCAGCATGGCTGCAATTATGCATTCAGGGAGCACTGCGGATCCCAGCACTGGGGGCTGTAGAGTCACTGCAGTGCAACCACTGGCTGATTTTCCACAGATCAATAGACTCCTTCCTACCATGCACTGGCTGGGCCTTGTTCTCTGCTCACAGGCATGTGGGACTGAGCCCATGTGCCATCTTTTCTTGTTCTATTTGCCAAATGGGGACTGTGAACCACGGCCTAGAAGCATGACTGGTGTGACAGCTAGAGAGCCTTGGCAGGCCCTCATGGGGCAGGTTTGCTTTGAAAAGAGATAGCTTTCTCAAGGCAAGGTAGGTAAATGTTAGGGTCAAGATAAGGAGTACAAAGTACACATGAAGGTTGGTTGGAAAAGGGAGATTATTTGGAACTAAATGGCTTGCATGGGAGCCCCCTTCTGATGTCTTTTTCCTTTTCCCTAGCTTCCCTATGAGCTGCAGGACATGGTCAATAAGCATTTGCACAGCACTCAGGAGTCTGCAGGCACTGGTCAAGAGGCAGCCCATACCTTGGCACCATCTGATGTTGTGCCCACCTCAGTCATCGCCAGAGTCTTGGAGAAACCAGAATCTCTGGTTCTGAATTCAGCCAAGTCTAGCAGTGGCAGCTGTCCCATGGCGGAGGATGTCTTTGTGCATGTGGACATGAGCGGAGCCCCTCCTGATGCCTCCAACAGCTCAGGGCAGACGGGAAAGGAGGGAGGGGATGCGGGGAAACAGCAGAATGGTGGCTGCAAGCCACAGAGTAGCATGGAAAGTGTGCCTGAGGATGTGCCTGCCTTTGAGAAGTTAAGCCCATACCCTACTCCCTCACCTCCCCATCCTATGTACCCAGGGCGCAAAGTGATTGAGTTCTCTGAGGACAAGGTAAGGATCCCAAAGAACAGTCCCCTGCCCAACTGCACGTATGCTACGCGCCAGGCCATCTCCCTCAGCCTGGTACAGAGTGAAGATGAGAGCTGCGACAGGCACCGGACACTCCCCGGCAGCCCTGCTTCAGAGGGGCACCGTTCAGCCTCCAGCTGTTCCTGTCAGCAGTCCCCCAAAGCAGCCAGAGCTCACGGATCTTCCCAGAGCAGCCCATTCAGCAGCCCTCCCCAAATCCCGAGCGCCTTTGCCAGCTCTGCCAGCTCTGAGGAGGACCTGCTGGCCAACTGGCAGCGTATGTTTGTGGACAAGGCACCCCCCACCTCAGAGCGAGTGCTGATGAACCGCACTGCTTTCAGCCGTGACACAGCCCCTGAGCTCCAGAAAAGGTTCAGCCGCTCTATGCAGGAGCTGGGTAGGGCAGCCTCGGCTTACTCAGATGGTGAGGAGTCCGCGCAGAGCTGCAGCTGGACCGTGAGCCGGGACTCGAGTGTGGACACAGACAGCACTGAGTCCAGAGCCCGCAGGAGCCATTTCTCCTCAGACTATGGTACAGATTTCTCCCAGGATGAAGCCCAGAAGCTGTTGCATGAAAGCGGTGGAGGCAGTGCTGAGCCTGAAAGCCCCTCACCAGAGAAGCACAAGGACTATGTGGACCTTGGCTTGCCTGAGAGCCCAGCTGAGGAAAGAGAAATACTGCTCCAGGGAAACAAGGAGAGCAACCAAAGAGGTGCCCAAGAGGAAAGTGGAGAAGGCAGGGTCAAGCCTCCCTTCAGTCGGATGCACCGCAGCCCCAAGAGGATGGGGGTCCACCACTTACATCGCAAGGACAGTCTGACGCAGGCCCAGGAGCAGGGCAACCTTCTCAGCTGAGGCAGAGCAAGAAGCAGCCACACGCTGCAGAGCTGTGGGATGCCTCCATCAGTCCACCTGAGGGAGAAACCTCCCTTAGTACCCTCCTCCCAGAGGGAGTCTGCTCTGAAATTTTATATTTATTCTCTTCCTTTTGCTACCTGGAAGAGCTGAGGTTCCCCTTCCCTGGCACCTCAGACCCACAGTACTAGCACATGCAGTGTGCAAAAGCACACCCACTGCCCCGACATGCTCACAGCTCTCTCCACAGCCTCACACTGGTGCCTGTACCAGAGCTAGTTCTTGGTACCCCTCCTCCTGGTGCCTGTGCCTCTTTACACCCTCATCCTCCTTCCCCCTTCCCACTCAGGTACCTGAGGCCCTGGGTGCTCTTGCGCTGGTTGCCCACAGCTGCTCTGCTCTCTTTTTTCTTGTGCCAACAGGGCAGACTGCCTGTGTGGTGGCGTCTGATTCCTCGGGAGCCCCAGGAGCCATGAGTGGGGCACAAGGACTCTCCCAGCGGATGGCTGTGTGCCATGGGGATGTGCTGGGATTGCTGGTATCTCATTTTTCTGTTGGGTTTTCTTTTTCCCCAGCTGCCCATGGGGTTGTTCTCCAGAATCTGCCTCTGCAGATTTCCAGCATTGGGCCCAGCACCTGGTCCCCACAGAGGCAACACATGGGTGCTGCCTGCTGAGGTGGTTCGGGGAGGCATTGCCTGCTGGGCCCTGGGGTTTGTGTTTGTGTGTCTCCTCCCTCACACCTCTTCCCCTGCTCTCTGTGCTGTTGTTTTGTTTGAACAGTGCTGATGCTTTGCTCTTGGGTGGGCTTCTTTCTTCTTTCCAAGCCTTTGGTTTTGGGGTGTATTGTTTTTTCGTTCTCCCCACCCCGCATAAACAGACACAGCCGTTGGCAGCCGGTCTGATGCCTGCGTTGAGGGTGTGTTGAGGAGGCTCAGCTATCAGAGCTGCGCTTCCCTCTGATCCTGGCCTCCAGCCTGTAGAAACCCCTCCAGACTCAAGAACAAGGTCTTGCCCCAGGCAAGCAAGGCATGAAGGATGGTACCGGCTTTTCTGGGCAGGGCTTGGTGCAGGGCCAGCAGGGATGCGAGGGCAGCATGCTGAGGAGCTGCTCCCTGTAGATGCACTACCTCATGGCTCGGCAGTAGCCCTCTGCCAGGGTCTCCTTGCATGCCCCCTTCTCTGGGGGGCTCCAGGCTGGCTCTGGTGCCTCTCTGGAGCCTTCCCTTCTGGGTGGGGCTCTCTGTGTGTTTTTCCTAGCATAGTGTGATATTGTGTGACTTTTCTTCTCAGTCTTGTGTGCTCAGTGTCTGCTTGGGGGGGAGGGAAGGGGAGAGGTCTGTAGATGTAGGTATTTTTTTGAGGGCTTACAGAGCCCAGGCCTCCTGTTTTAATTTTGTCCTGTGCTCTTGTCTTTCTGGTGTTTCTTGGCTACCCTGGGAGTGCGAGGCAGAGAACAGCCCAGTTCCCCTGCACCACACCCCCTTCAAACCCCACTGTCTGCCCTCAGTCTGCTGTCTGGTTTTTGAGTTGGGTTTGTGTTGTCCTCCCACCCTACACAACGAGGGCTCTTCACTGGGCTGGAGGAGAGCACCCCTGTCTCCATGAGGGAGCTTCTGTTCATATGCTTACATCAAGATGTACAGCCGAGAGCTGCCTGAGGGCCCTGCTCCTTTCCCCAAACCCTGTCTCTGCAAAGGGCTTGCAGCTTGCAGCTGGGGCCAGCCAGGGCTTCAGCTCGAGCCTGGAGGCTCCAGGGCCAGTGAAAGGGAGCTGCAGGCCTCTCTGGCAGTTATGTAGGTTGCTTTATGTACCCTGGCTAGAGCTGCTGCCTACACACTTACCTTGTTTCCTGCCACCCTCTGGTGGGGAGGTGGGACTCGGTATTTCACTGCAGTATTTTGCTTGGTCCCTGTGCAGACAGGCTGGTGCTGAGAGCAGGAGCGTCCTCTGAGCCTGCAGAGTGTTCATCTCCCCTGTCCCAGTCGTGGTGGCAGGATCTTTGTATTTGCTGTCATCAGCTGCTCCACTGCTGCATTTCTTCTGTTCTGCAGCGTTGCTGAGAGTTTGCACCTGCAGCAGCTGCCAGATCCTGCCTCATGGATGTCACCTGGGGTTGGATGCTCACTGAGCAAGCTGCTCTAGCTCTGAGGCTGCTGGTGGCCTGCAGTGGGGGAGGCATTGCCCCTCAGGGCTCAGCCCCATCTCCCCTGAATCCTGGCATGCTGGTCAGGGGACAAAAATCTCTCTTGCTGAGGCAGCTGGTGCTGATGGTGCTGGGCAGAGCCAGCCTCCCTCTGCTTTTGGTCAAGGTAGACTGAAAAGCAGAACAGTGGAGGGGTGGCAAAAGAGTGCCCAGAGCCTCGCCAGACAGTTGTGCTTTGCAGCATTAGGCTGCTGGCAGAGGTTGAGAGGAAGCGGTGGCCTCAAGGAGCAGAGCCTTCTCCCCTTGGGCACGCTGCCCTCGGCATTCCTGCCCACCTCCAGCAGTATTGGCTCTGGGGCCTTGAGCTCATCCCACTTCCAGTGTCCCAACTCCAGACTGTTAATCTGTAACTAATGTGTTTTTTTCTGAGATTTTCAAACTGATGTATATTTTAAGACCAGAAATAAACTATTTTAAAAGTAGATGGCAATGGCTGTAGTGTTCTTGATGCTGCTTAAAACCTGGACTGAGTATGTGAAGGAGCAGAGCTGCTCGGGGTACAGTGTCCCAAGTTTGCTGAACTGTGTGTGCCACCTGTTAGCTCTCAGAGAGAGAGTGATCCTGTGACCTGTAAGCAGCCTCAGTGTTACTGGCAAGATTCTGCCTACCCCGTTTCAAGTATTTTGCTAGCTGTCCCAGCTGTGTCTTGGCAGACTCTCCACCTGCTGATCTAGAGTAGGATGAGGTGTAGCTAATCCTTTTAATAGTTGTTGGTTTTCATAAAGTCCCAGTTCTTGGAATCAGCTGAGAGTATCAGTTCTCCACTTCAGAAACTGAGTTATGTGGAACCATGCAACATACCACCTTGCTGGAGTTCCTAAGGGGGTTATAATTCTAGAGGCAGTATTTTGTGTGGGGAGGATTGAGGTTGATTGGACATACCCCAGGCAGGAAGTTGTCCAAATATGAGACAGAATTCCTGCAGGATGCTGTTATGGACACTTGGAAAAGTGCTTCCTTTTTGTGTTGAATGGTGCTGCAGAGGTCAGAGGGCTCTGATGAATTTTCTTCCATCTCCAATGTTATGCTGTGCCTTTCTGACCTACATATATGCAAAGCGTAACACAGGAAGAGTTTCTTGTTTCTTTGTTCCCATAATTAATGATATTATTCCTTGTTCCCTTGAGTAGCAGCTGCGGCCACAATTTGATCTTCTAACCTAATCTGAGCCTTGAAACACGATCTTCCTTGTCTGCTCCAGCAAGGGACGCTTGGCCGAGCAGAGCAAGCCGCAGTGCTGATGCGGGCTGAAGCCTTCACCAGAGGGTGCGCCGCTGGGGCCAAGCTCCCTGCAGAGCCAGACTAGCCCTGCCCGCTACCTCCTGGGCCGGGGGAGGGCCCGGGGGACAGAAATCTGGGCTGTCGCCGAGCTCTCCCCAGGGCCGGGCCTGTGCGGGAGCCTCGGCAGGGCGGGAGCGCCCGCGCGCAGCGGGGTGAGGGGCTGCCGCCCCCTGCCGGCGCTCCGCTCTTGCAGCGCCTGCCTGCGCCGCTCCCCGCCGCCCCTGCCCATACCTATCGGCTCCTGCCGCCCCTGCCGATACCTGCCCGCACCTGCCGGTACCTACCGGCTCCTGCCGCCCCTGCCGATACCTGCCCGCCCCCGCCTCCCCGGAGTCACACAGTGACGGAGACGGACGCTGCCGCGAGTGGTGCCACCACGTCTGTGACCTTTATAAAACTCTCATCGCGACAGCAGTACAAGCGATAGAAAGGACATCTCTTATACACATCTGAATAAATACAGCCTGGGCCCTGCGGGCACAGCCGGGCGTGGGGGGGGCGGCGTGAGCTACACATGCGGCGACGGGACAATCACAAGCGGCCGACTGGGCGTGTGACAACACAGAGACGTGTGTAGAGATTTGCTCGGACCAGGCTCCGGCGCTCAGAGAGCCGAGTGAGGCGCCGACAGGAGGTGAAATGCGTGAGAAGTGGGCTGGGGAGCCCAGCGGAGGCGGGGGTCCGGCAGGCACACGCTGCCCCCGCGGGCACGGTGCTCTTCTCGGCAGAAGCAGGCAGGGTAGCCCAGCTACATCTCTGTTTCTGCTAAGAGGCTGTCACCGAGACCTGACGTCATCAGCACCATCTGGGAGCTGGAATCTGTGTCGAGAGAGGGAGAAAACGATGAGCCGTTTGGGCTGCCAGAGAGTACAGGGCTGTACTCCAGATGCAGAGGTGAGGATGAGGAATTAGAGCACCGCAGGTGGGAGGAGAACTGCTGAGAGAAGTGTGAGATTAAGTAGTCTGGCCTTGCAGCAGAATAGAATCGATGCTTGGAGAGGGGAAGAAAGCAGAGACAGCAGCAAGAGCCCAGAGGAACATCAGCTCTGAACCCTGCCCACATACAGGGGATACTGCTTGTGCTGGCCCAGCCGTGCCCTTACCCAGCCCTGCACTCACCGAGTGCTTTTTTGGCTAGAGAGACAGTGTCCAAGTGGGATGGGCTGTCAGGCTGCAAGCCAACCAAGCCCACATAAGGTGGTGGTGCTACCTTCCCAAGAGCAGGGAACACAGCAGGCACTCAGCCATGTTACGGCAGCAGAGGCCTGGAAATACTGACTTTCTGCACGGCATGAATGGAGGGTTTGTGCAGTCCTTCCCCGCCTGCCTCGGGGAAGTGAAGGCAGCTTGCTGGCTCTGTGATGGCACAGAGCACCAGCCAGGAACACTGTGACTCTCCCCACACTGAGTGAATCAGATGGAAGGAGGATGGGTATGCATAGCAAGTAAGAAACTCAGTAGGATACTAGTCTCCCAACCAGAAGCCTTTTTAAACAGAAAAAAAATCTGTTTTTTTCTGGATAGGAATGAGAAGATCTTTAGTGGCAGTCCTACACATTCAAAACTGCTGCATGGGAATCTCTGTTTTGGGGATCAATTTTTGGAAACTGGATGCAAAACTTGGACAAAACTGTCACTAAATTATTTTTATGGCTTTAACAAATGAGGATCCAGATGTTTTCAGGCTGATGGAGTGGTTGTGCTTGTTTCCTGCTAGTCTAATATGAGAATTGTGAGGGGGGAAGGACAACTGAAGGTAAAAAACAACCTCCCCCTCAAAACAGCTGGATCACAAGGTAGGAATGTCAATATACAATATATACAAACTATACCAAACAGGCTACTGCTATCTCCATAATACAGCTTTTTTCCATTACAAGGAAAAGACAGGCTGTGGCACCTGGCTAACCCTTCACATGTATGGGACGCAGAGATAGCAATAGCTAATGCTGTGCAGATTGCAGGGAGGTTCTGGAAGCAGTGAGGAATGACACAAGTTTTGGCTAGGCAATCTGGCAAAGGCCCCTGAGATCTTTAATGCTCCTGCCCTTGAGTTTTAAGACTTTGCATAAAGATTTTGTTCCTGCAGCATCAGGAAAAACGCCTCAGAGGTACCGTTTCCACTCTTTCCAGCAGCCGCATTGTCCTTGGAGGCTGCCTTTCCACAAGAGGCTCAGCCCAACGCCGTTTAACATGAAGGTCACGCCTGGAGGTTGTATGTATTCCAGTTCATGGGGGGAAAGGACAGATCCCATTCACCAACCTCACCACAAGAAACCAGTGGCACTGGAAACACCCCAGACACTCCAACTCCTGCCTGTCAGCTCCTGCCCACAGCCCAGCTCCCAGAGCTCTTACTGTTTTGGCAGATCCAGGGGTTCTTCTCCCTGGCTGTGACTTCGTGAGCCTCTGTCTCCTCCTCTTCCTCACCCTCTGAGAGAAGGTCAGAGATCTGCTGCTGCAGCTCAGGACTAATGTTGTTCTCCGCCAGGATGAGTGTCCGTAGGGCTGTGGGGTAGTTCTCTACCATGTCCAGCAAGGTCTGGGCGGAGAGTGAAATAAACAGGCTGAAGCAGCACAAACAGCAGCCAGGCTGAGCAGAAAAAGCATCAATGCTTTGTCTCCCTGCAAACTCCAGCTCTCCTCCTCTTACCTCCACCTTCCCTTGGCCTTGACCTTCCTTCATCAGGCTTTATGAGAGACTGAGGACTTCCCATCTTTCTGTGGGAAAAGCTGAGCTTGGATTTCCTGGCTCTGTCTAAAGAAGGGACTGCTCTACACCCTGTTGCTACCAAATATCCAGGCTCATTCCCTCTTACCACTGGGAGCTGGGGCTCTGAGGGGAGAGCCTGTGCTACCGAGCCTTGGCCCCTATATGTCCACAGAGCTTTAGCTCTGATCCTCAGTCAAAAATCCAACCCCTTACTTCTTCCAAGAAAACAGCCAGAGGAAAGTAAGAACACCCCTGGGTGCAGGGAGGGAAGGGGGCGCATGTGGACTCATGGGGGAGTGGAGGCAGGTGTAGATCCTAAGGCCTCTACAGACATCCCTGTCCTGTGCCACTGAGATGTCAGTGATGCTGTAGAGAAACTATGGGCTCTCATACCTGGGCTGACTGATTGGTAAGTCCTGTTCCCTCTAAGTCCAGAACTTCGAGGGTTCGACTGGAGGCCACAGCGACAGCGAGCATCCCTGCCACCTGGTCACCTGTGGGAGAAGCAAACCAGGGCCATCAGCAGTGCCTGCCTTTCCTCATGTAATACCACATGCCCTCATGGAAACTTCCTCTGAGTATATCTGCCATCAGACAACCTCCAAACCTGTTCCTCAGGGAGAAAAAAGCTGTTAACTAAAAAAAGAGACAAGGAAAGGTGCACCATTTTGTGGTTATGGGAGCAGTCACTGATTGTCAGGGGGAACACGAAGGAACACAGTGAAACTGGTTTTGTTCCCAAAGGAATCATATCTTTCCAAATCTCCTTCCTATACAAGGATGCAAGGGCCTTTAACAGGCCCTGTAAGGCATCACAGCCACAGAATAGGAGCTAAATACTTCAGTATAGGGTAGGGCTGGAGCCAGACAGAGGACTCTGCACCAGCTGAAGGACTGCCTCCCTGGAAAGGGGGTAAACTTTTGGACACAGCATTAAAGATTGATGGTAGTGAAGAGACAAGACTCCAGTGTGTTCTCCTGACATTCTCTGCTGAGTGCTAAGATGCCATACAACTGTGACACTTTCTCTTAGAGCAAAACCCAGAGCGCTGTCAGATAATACCCTGGAGCCTTTCCTACCCACGAGGAGGTACCTGGTCAGACAGAGGGCCTGGAGGGAGGCTCTGTTTGCAGATAGGGTGAGGAGGGGAGTATCCTGCTGATGCTCAGGGAGGCATGGCCTGATCTCCTCCTCACCACCTTGCAGCAGAGCTGGAGAGAGTTTGTTTCTATGGCAACGAGTGCCAGGCTCTCCTCCTCCTCCTCCTCCTCCCTTCTCCTCCAGGAAGATGAAGGGGGGAGTGTGGGGACATACTGCATCTGCCAAGCCAGCTTCCGCACCCTGTTCTTCAGGAACAAGGGAGACATGGAGGGTCAAACATGACAACAAAGGCAATGGACTAGGCAAGGCACAACCTCCTTTCTGCACCTCCCTGCAAGGTATGTGGCCACTTCATACAACCAGAGCAGTGAGGGTAGCTTTCCCTACAGGTGAAGGTGCCCGGCAGGGTGAACTTGCTGCTGGGGATCAGAAGGCGAGGAACTGCCCCATCCTACTGTTGATGCACTACTGCATTTTTTTCTAGAGCTTGGTCCCCAGCCAACCCCTGGTGCCGGTTGCACAAACACTGAGAGGCAGGAGTGCAGCATTCCCTGCTCCTCCTCCCTGGCCCCCAGCTTACCTAGAGGGTTGTAGTCCAGGTTCAGCACGCGGAGCTGTGAGCTGTGAGCCACTGCAATGGCCAGGCGTCCCCAGCCTTTGCTTGTGATGCCTGGGTTGGCGCTCAGTGTTAGCTCTTTGAGGCCTGGAGAAGAGAGAGAAGCCAAACCAGAGCCTTAGGGTCACCAAAGCAGTCTCAGGAGAACTATTTCAGCTCACCAGAACAGCTTTGAGTTTGGGGATCTAAGGGTTTGGTTTGCTCTGACAACTGTCATCACATATTTCAGAGATCAGTGAAATATTTCACTACCTTCAGCAGTAGCCCTTCATTTATCCATGCTGTGAATGCCCCACTTATCTGCACTCCCATCCTGTGTCCTGCTTACCCTAAGTAGCGAACACAATGGAAACAGGTAAGGGGTGTGTGAGACGACTGACTGGGTGAAGAAGGTGACATGAGGTGACGGTTGGAGAGAGGATAACAAGGACAGTAGGCTCTGAAGCCTGCACCTGGGAGGGGTGGCCAGCAGAGATAACAGCATCAGTGGCATTGTGAGCACACAGAGGAGGAGGTACTGGGAAGAGGTGGAAAGCACTTAAGAGAGTCAGGAGAAAGGAGTGGCATTACCTCCTCTGCAAATGCCAGCTCTCAGCTTAACTGGCTCACTGGCCTCACACCACCAAAGATTATTCCCTGCAAAGACCCGAGACTTGGCACTAGGGCTATGACCATGCAACTACACACTCACACAGTGCACCTGCAAGCAGGGACAATTCCCAGGCACTGACAATAAAGCCAAGTGCTGAGGTGGGGGCACACAATATATTTATCTATGGTCATTATCAACACTCAAATGCGAAATAAATTCAAAATCCAAGCTGTCCCCTCCTCCAGTTTCAAATGCTCCTGACATGAACCAGAAACAACCTGTTGGTCTCTGAGCTCCAATCTGCCAGCAGGACAGATCAATTACAGAAAGCCCATGCCTGCCCAAGGGAACCACTTCTTTATTGCCTGGCTTTTCTGCTTTACTTAAGTTGGGGGGAAGAAATTCTTCAGCCTAGGCAAACTACAGAGCCTGCCTCCTCCGGGGCTGAGGATTTACTGCTGCATGCATCTGCTCTGTGTGAAAGCTCCACTGATCATTGTGCAGCCCACAGCCCCTGGTGCTTACCGGACTTGGCCCCATCAGGCGGCAGGAGCCCACAGATAAGGTTGATGCCTTCATCACCCAGCATGCAGTCTCCTAGATCCAGAGCCACCAGCGAAGGGTGGATGGAAAGAGCAGGATTGAGGAGGGCCAAGCCTGCATCTGTCAAGGGACTCCCATGGAGGCTGTGCAGGTAAAAGGGAAAATTACTATGGAGCCTTCTTCCCGGGGGCTAACTAACCTGACAGGGAGGGAGAAGTAGACGGAATGAGCTGGATGACAAATACTAACCCTAACTGGGCAAAAAGTGCTGGGAAGCCTCTGCTGCGAGGATCAGCTGGCCGCTGCGGTGGCCCTCCTCCCCCGGCCGGGACGAGGGGACGCAGGGGATGCCAGCGCGGCAGGGGCAGCCCCACCACCGGGGCAGCCAGGCTGGAGGGCTGGGACTGAAAGCCAGGGCCGTGCCCATCCGGCGGGGGCAGAGGTGGCTCCCTCCCAGCCAGGTGACGGGTAGGGGCTTATCCGCCACAGCGTCAAGGGCATTTTCCCTCCGACAAGACTCAAATTCAAGGGCTGGCCCGGAGCCCCCCGAAAGAGCCGTCCTCACCCGGGACGGGCTCAAAGCCCCCCCAGCAGCCCCCACCCCGCTGTACTCACAAGAGGGACTGGACGGAGCGGTTCGTCTTCAGGGCCTCGGCCAGCTGCTTGACGCGGTTGATGTTGGAGACGATGCCCAGGTTGAGGTTGAGCTGGGCGAGGGAGCGGGATTCGGCCACCCCACGGCAGACGTGTCCGAAGTCCCGCTCGGAGAGCTGGCAGCCCCGCAGAGACAGCAGCCGCACCGAGTTCTCCCGCAGGCTCTCGCAGATGTCCCGGATCTCTGCCCCCGACAGCGTCTCTCCGGAGATCTGGATGGACCCCGGCAGCATCTTTCCCGGGCTCGAGGAGCCGCCGATCCCGGGGCCGCGCCGCCCGGGCGCCGGGGGCGAGCCAAGCTGCTCGCTGTGCGCTGCGGGCCGGGGCGGGCGCCGCCGCCGCCGCCGCTGCCCGGCAGTGCCGGCCCGGCCCACCGCGGCCCCGAGGGCGGCACCGCGCTGCCTTCACCGGCGGCCACCGGGCCACCCCGCTCCGCCCGGCGGGGCGGCAGGACCCAGGGGAGCCATCGGCCGGGGCTAATCCGGACCGGGGCACAGCGCCGGGCGGGGGCCGGGCAGCCCCACGGATCCCCGCCCTGCTCCGCCCGCACCTGCTGGGCCGCCCCGCCTCCTCCCGACCGCCGCTTCGGGCCCTCCTACCGCCCGGCAGCCGCCTCTTCTCGGAACGGGGTGGGCGTGGAGGGGCCCCTCACCCTACGCCCGTATCCCCCACCCCATTCCGGCATGTCCCCCACTACACGAGGGGCGGTGGCAGCGCCCGCTGGCACCTGCCTGCTGCCCTGAGGGGATGGCGGAGCCGTGGCCGGCGGGGCCGCGTCCCCGGCACCGAGGGGGTGCAGGAGCGGAGGGAGGGTGGGAGAAGCCCCACTGGGAAGGACCTCTCCCACCTGGGGAGGGGGCCAAAGCTATTGGGCCGTGGCGCACGCTGGGCGCTTGGTCTGAGGAACTGCGATGTTCCGTGGCTTCAGTGACGTTTATGCATAAACCTGGACCCATGACTTAATGGCGAGGTCGGTGTGAGCTGCTCCTCAAGGCCCAGGGCTCTTGGAGCCGGTGCTTGGAAGCAGCTGGTGAAAGGTGGAGGGTTGGAGAAGGGCCGCAGGCTTCCTTCTTCCTGAGCACACAGTCTGCGCCCTCAGCCTGACCTGAGGTGTGTGGGGCATAACCTGCCGTCTGCTAATGCACGGGTATGGATCAGAGGGATTTGACCCCTCTCTCCCCCGTTGGGTAATCCTGTTCTTGGAGAGAAATAGGAAGCAGGGCCCCTGCATTTTCAACTTCACTGAGCTGAAAAAGGAAGCCAGTGATGTGGAAATTAGGTTAAACCGCCTAAGTAGGCAGCTTTCTGCACATAACTAATCTGGCTGCTGCATATAGCAGTGCTTAAGTGAATTCCAGCCCAGTGGGTAACACTGGGACAAACCCAGGTTCCTCTGCTTGGTTTTCAGGCCAGGGTGGGGGAGAGGGGGTGGAAAGTGAAGGGAAAAATAGGGTGTGGAAGGGGATGTGAAGCAGTTCTCCTCCACTGAAATGGAGGACCAGATCACCTGAGCTGAGAGTGCACATTAGGCTCTGAATGAGACAAGGGAAGAAGCAGATAAGAAGCTGGATTCAGATATCAGCTTTTAGACTTTGGCTGCAGCATCTAACTTCCAGTGTAGGTATCCCATGCCCTTTGAGTAATCCATTGCTGTTCTCTAGAGCTATCTACACACTCCTTTTTCTTTCCCTGTTGCACAGGGATGCATGACCTTCATACTGTTCCTGCAAGGAACACCAAAAACAGACCACCGGCCTAGCAATTCATCTGCACTGGGATATGAACAGCAGCTGCGAGCACCCAGCTGTAGTACAGCTGATGGCTTTCAGAAAAGGAGCAACTGATCTCTAAGGTCACGTCAAATGATTCAGGTGAGAATGGGATCCTAGGTATTGCAGGGACAAAGGCTGGATCTCAGAGTGGTGGGCACGGGATGGGTGACCAAGAAAATCCCAGCTGCTGCTGCATACAGGTCAACTGGAAGACTACACTGTCTCACCTCTTGATTACCTCCAGGCACTAATCAACTCATGCTTTTTTAAACAGACTGTTATTAGAGAGGTACTTGAAGGAGAGCCCCTGGGACTTGTCCCACTTCCACTGACAGCAGCAGCCCTGAAACACTGATGAAGATGCCCTAGTGCTGGCATCTTCACTGCCTATTGTCAGGAGCAAGAGCACATTGAGGAGATAAGCATCCAACCTCACTTTATGCTCAAATACATTGGAAAAAGTGGCACAGGAGATAAACCTGTTCCCTAAACCTAATTAAGGGCTATGCAGAGGGGACCTTGGCAATGCTATTTTGTGTAGAATTAGATATTGCTTCCTTGTTATGTGCAGTTACCCAGCAGGTATGAGGAAGGTTGTTTATTGTTTACCTACTGGGGGCACAAAGACTGATGCCATTAAGAGTTCACAGAGCTACCCTCTTTCAAAAGGGTGAGGTGATGGGAGGAATTATTTCAGATTTGTGCCAAGGGAGGAGGGAGAAAATTATTTTAGATTTGCTGCAAGAGCTGTGGCAGGAAACAAAGGTAGAGATAGACTTGCACAATAGGCTTGTAAGGCTTGTCATGATAACTAGAGGACTTGAGTAAGCACTGAAATGCCCTCCCACAAGGACTTTACTAAGGCTGCATGCTCAGCATGCTCCCTGGAACTGCAGCATGCACACATTTCCCTGAAAAACCTTGTCCTTCTCTGTCAGCAAAAGGCAATGCTGAGGCTCTGTCAACTACTGAATTTCTGGCAGTACAGAACAGTTCAGCTTCCAGCTGCTGCCGCACAGAGGATTAATTAGGGCTGAAGAACTGGAGCAGAGCAAGCCCCACAGGTTCCAAGAGGGTGATTGGTTGTCACCCTGGTCATGTTCCCAGCTGACATGACACACAAGCTGCCCAGGGGACGCGTGAGGAGTTTGCTTGCTGCTCTCTCCTGTGCTTTGAGTGAAAACACAGGGCACAGCTTTACCCTCCTGCTTCAGCTAAGTGGCTCGGTGTGGGAGGGGAGCACAGCTGTTCTTCTCTGACTGTCTCTGTAGATCAGCAGTGATAGAGTTTGTGCAGAATGATTTTTCTTCTCGGCTGGACTTAACTCCAGTGACAATTGCCTCTTTTCCTTCCTCCCTGCTTGTGCTTCCAGAGTTTGCACCAAGAGAAACAGATCCATTCTAGGCTGCCAGGGCAAGAACTGTGAATTAGAAACCAACCTCCCGTGGAGATATAAAGAGGGAAATACCAGAATCAGCATTAAAAACTAACACTTCCATTTTGTCAAGTATCAAAATAGTAGAAATTCTAGAAGTTTAAAGTGGTTCAACTAGTCAAAAAAACCACCGTGGAGGCTAGCCCAAATAATTAACAATTCTCCCAAATAACTTGCTCTGAGCGCTGTTCTTCAGCCAAAATGCTTCCTAAAAGAGGGGGACGGGCAGGCAGAGAGGGGAGGGGAGGAGAGAGTGAGAAAACATGTCTATTATGCATGTGATTGCTAGCACACAAGCTTCTTGCTCTAGGAAGGGAACAAATTATGAACATGGGAATAGGCAAACAGTGGAAAGTAGGTCTGTGACTGAAAATGCTCACATCCAGTGATGTTTTTAACTGAAGCAGATGACCAGCCTGATGACAGTAGCTGGTACTATCTTCCTCTCTTTCATTGCACCTTGGCACTAGTCTGAATGCCACTACAGCTGCATCCTCTCCCGTTAATATAAACAAGAGACCAAAGAGTGCAGTGCTGACATGCTGCCTTGTGCACAGCTAACTTGTGGGTACACCAAGAAAGGGCAACGTCTTGTGCTTTCTCTGAGGGGTGGCTCCTCTCCTAGACATCCAGGAATACAGAAAGAAAAGGTGAAAGCCAGTTATCAGCTAACAGCTTTCCACTCTCAGACCAGTAAAAGTAAGAGCAGTGAGGGAAGGTTGAACTAATAATTTGTGTGTTAGTGCAGCACAGGTAAGCCTAGACTAGGCTGCTCTGCTTCCCCATCCTTACTGGAGCTTTCTCAGCATCAGTACGCTGGAGATACATGTGCCAACCTACTTCTATTGCATGTTCCCCTATTTCTCCCTTTGTTTAATGGAAACACTGGAAAAAAGTTTGCCAGAGACCCTCAAGGCTCCAGGAGTCCTTTCAGAAACAAGGCCTAGACTCTGCTTGAAAAGCCAGGCAGTACACAGCAGCCGTGGTGCCTGGGGGAGCAGGATACCACTCCTGCTCAGAGCAATTAGGTGACAGTCCCTTGGCTGGGAGACACAAGGGCAAGCAGCACAAGGGTGGGCTGAACCAGCCTCTTAACAGAAAAACCCACAGACGACCATGCACAAACATGCTGCCCCTGCACGGCCCACAGAGCAACATGGGCAGAAGGGTGTTAAGAACAAAAGGTGCTGTGAAAGCCTGGGGACAGACACATTTCTGACATCCCAGGAGAAGGGATGGTGAGGCGAGATAGCAGCTTGGACCAAGTGAAGAGAGAAGAGTCAATCTGGAGCACGACAAGGAAGATCATGCGGTTAAACATTGTGCTGTTCTGAAAATCTCCAGAGAAAGTGAAGTTCCTGTGCCTCTTGGGCTATGGAAAAGTGGCCAAGAGAGGCCATGTATCACAGAACATTTGAAGTAGGACAGCAGAAAGTCGCAAAGAATCCTGCTTTGAGTCTAGGACAGGATAGATAAAGGCATAGAGACCCAACACCACTCTCCCACTAGGCAAGCAGGCTCAAACATAAGACATCACTCAGCACCAACATCAATTTAATTCTTCCCTCTTCAGGACAGGAACAGGGCAGATACTCCTGGAGTTACATCAGCAAGCGGAAAGAGGGCTAAGGGACAAACTGTGCCGGGAAATCCCAGCTAAACATGCAGGCAACAGAACCACTCTACTCAAGACAGCCCAGACCTGGGTGGGGGAAGAGTGTAGTTCTTCTGAGTCACTGAGGTGCGACTCACCTCAGCTGAGTCCACTCAGCTGCTCAAAACTGTAACCCAAAGGACAGGTCCAGGAAAACAAAACCAAGTCGTCTTCTTGTTGTTCTGTCCTGTTCCTAAGAGACAGCAGGTTACTGTGGCCCTACGCAGCCCCAGAAGTAGTGAAGGAAGCAAGTCCAAGTTTGTGAACTACAGGGTCAATGCAATGGCTTTGGCTGTTGTGTTCAGTACAGCATTGGAAACAACTGGAACATCTCGGGCAACTCTCTGAAAGGGTGGCATGTTGGGTCCTTCCAATGTGTCCAGGATACCTGCAAGGAACAGAAAAAAGGGGAGAGAGGCAAGAGTTAGTTCAGATGATAGTAGATGGCACGTTTCTTCTTGCTTTTCTCTCTGGACAGGTAGTGGTTGATGGTGGCAGGGCCCAGGATATGTGAAACACTTGCAGGCAAGGAGGCATCTAACCCCAAAGACTGAGCAAGACTAAACACCTCCATGCAGAGACCACAGGGTACACACCAGAGCTTGACCTCAGGGCAGGAAAACTGCATGTTACCAAGAGTAACATAGATCTTTTTGCTTTGAGGGTGTCAGATCCAGTCCCCTGCCATTTGACCTGAATGCAGGTACTGCCAGGGATGTTGCTCTGCTGAGGCAGATCGATAAAATCCTGTTCCTACTTCATCCTAGCACAGGTCCTGCTCTTAGACCAATTGCTTGCTTTCATCTAAAGATACACTTGCAGAATTACATCAGGAGCTGCAGCTGGGCTGCAATATGGAATTTTTATCACTGCAATGCAAACATAGGCCATTCTTGGCAGAAAATAATATCCTGATGCAAGTGTTCTCAAGTCCCTGTCAATTAACCTCTCAAGACTGATCATCAGTCTTGGAGTGCCTTGAAGAAAACTGGAGTATATTTTATTCTATTTCATCTGCCAAAAAATTGCACATCAGATCTCAGAACCTTCACCATAAGAACAGATCCAGGAAAGAACAGGATTTATATCTAGAAGGACTTGTAATGCTGTGCTATAACCCCTAATTATGCAGATTTATCTGAAATATCATGAATGGGTCTGGCTGCCTAAACTCATAAAGATGCTTGCAGAATTGCATATTTAGGGATCTGGAAACTCTCTAGAGATAAGTGGGAGAAGGTGTTTGGGTTTTTTTTAAAGGATGTTGAGACTTTGTTAGAAGAAAACAAAAAGAGACACAGAAAGGGACCCGGACAAGCACAGCCTGGTGAACAGTACCAACTGGGGAAGATGCAGCTTCTGCTATCTCTGTTGTACAACAGAAGATGAAAAAAGGTGTTAAACAAAGAAGGAAAAATACTTATGACACATTTCCTGATCAGAGAAAAGCAACCTGACTTCAGCAATATTCAGTAAGGGGCTTGATATCTGCGTGCAAGAAGAGTCAGTCCTGCTACACTTCACTTGTGGGGAAATAATAAGGGTCCTGCCTCGCAACTTGGGTCTTAAGTACTAAAACTCAGTGACAGTAACTACCCCATTGTCTAGCTGGTGCCCTATTTCAACAGCTTCCTCTAAAAGAGCTAGCGCTGATCATTCTTGAGTTGGAAACCAGCACAGATACCCTAAGGACAGACCCAAACTGTCCATCCTTTCTCTCAGAGCAAAAAGCAGCTTGTCTTCCCCTGCATTTAACAGGACGTCTTCATATCTGCCTTGCTTACCTTCTACCACCTTGTGATAAGCAAAGTGCAGATAGAGGAGGAAAAGCATATGCAGAGCAGCAAGAGTCCCACACAGGATGAGCCGCTGGGTATGTCCCACGGTGCGTGACACCAGCACAGCAACCTAGGAGAGGGGTGGAGACCAGAGACAAGGTAGCTGCTGCTACCTGAGCCTCTAGCATTGCAGTCAGGAGCACACAGGAGGATGGGCCAAGTAGGGAGAATCCATGGAAACACTAATCTGAGTCTTTTCCACAGTTTTCACCAACAAATTTAGAGCAATCTGACTTTGTTTTCTGTAGGTGAACCTTGCCTGGTTTTGCCAAGAGTGCAGGATGCTCAGGCTTGGCTCTCCAGAGCAGCAAGAGCTGTAAGGGAGTAAACCTCCTGCAGCTCTTAGAATGGGTGAGGATATTAATCCAAGCAGCACCTCCATGCACCAGTGGCCAAATGATGCAGGATCATCGGGCTGTTCTTCACAGCAGCCCAACTGGCTGTGAAATGAACTGCCAGGCCCAAGGAACAGAAAGCAAACACCACCTCCCTCTCTTTTTTTTTGTCCCAGGAAGAGGAAGACCCCAGGCTGTCTGTCCCTTACCATTCGTAGTGTGGAGAGTCCACCAACAACCAACCAGAAGATATAGAAGAGGGAGTGGAAGTGGATATTATAGGTGACAAAGAGAGTGATGCAGTGTCCAAAAAGGCCATAGCCCTGACAAAACAAAAACGTCCATATTACAAGTGTCAGTCCCACACAAAGGGCCATTGATCAAGAGCACAAACAGACTATTCCTGCACCACTTCACTGAGGCAAATGCTCACAAACCACTCATTCAATGCCAAAGAGTCAACCAGAACAACAAGTTTAACAGCATCTCACATCCAGATAGTCTATCTGAAGGATTCACTAGCATGTCAGAGACTGAAACAACTTGGGAAACAAAGGAAAGATTCTCTGATTCCAGAGAAATTGGGGTCTCCTGTTTTTTTCCCACTAGGCTCTCAAATCAGGAAGTGCACAGCAGGAGACTTGCATGAAGGAACTGCCTCCTTGCACTATTGCTGTGCCTGGAAGGGGGCAGGTCTGAAGAGCATCTTGGAATTCCAGGTTGTCCAAATGCAGTTACCTGGGACCAATGTTTTACAGGGACTTTTCCCATTCTTTGAGAAAAGCTTGTGCTGGAACACCATGCAGCCAATGTGCATCTCCAGGCAGTTCCACCTATACATACCAACAGTGACAGCATCTGCACCATTGTGATTTGTGCATTGCACAGATATGCCAGGAAATACATGAAAGACGAGACGCCCAACCAGTAACCGAAGCAGGTCCCAATGGCTGTGCCCATCAGTGTGCCTTCCCTCTGTGGAGAGAGCGTCAGGATGAGGAAAACTCATAGAAGTGACCTGCCAGCACCCAAATTTCACCTGAGAGTCTCAGAGCCTTTCTAGGCATTAGCAAATAGCTGGCTAGCAGTGTTCAGGGGGTCACATGACCCACACACCAGCTCTCCCAGCAGCAGAGTGTCAGGACTTTCTGGTGCATCCTTCCTCCCACCCCCAAACCAACAAGTTCTTCCTCAAATCCATCGGCTTTCAGTGAGACGCTTATTCAATTATGGAAGAGGTTTCTTCTCTGTTTCTACTGTAATTGTAGCAATCCAGAGCCCAGTCAAACCACAACTTATCACTGAGACTTGACGTACAATGATGGTGTCTGAGGTCTTCATTCCATGCAAAAGAATGGCCACTAGTGTGAAAACCAGCATGAGGGGTCCGTACAGCTCGCCTGCAATCTTCTACAGGAGACAGATGAGGGAAAGTTTGATTAGTGCTCCTGAGTACCAGGGTCCCCACCACAAGCAATGTGACAAAGTGTCTTGGATGAAGTTTATCACCTAGGTTATTGCCTGAGGTGAGATGAGAGCACACTGAGGTTTGGAACAACCACAAGAAAGGGGTCACCAGCATTTTCAGGGAGATGAACACCTAACAAACTGAGGTCATTAATAACATGGTCTACTTCAGTTTTACAAGGTGGGACAGTCACTTGGCCATGGAGTCTGATTCAGCAAAAGGAAACTCACCTGTGGGAAATTAATCATCTTCACAGGAATCATAGACTCCAGGAGTCTGCATCACAGGAAAGCAGGCAATGACAACAGGAGCAGGAAGGGCAATAGGATGGTTAACAAAATGCTTCATAAGTAAAATATCCCATACACCCATTACTAGTGTTTGCTGCTGTGTTCCCAGGCCTTGGGGGACAGAGATTCTTTCTAATGGGTCCCAGAAGGTCAGTAAAGGAGAAAAATCTTACTGTCAGTGGGTAAACTTTGCTGAGGGCAGGGGGGGCAGATTCAATGAAAATGTTCAGGGATCCATGCAGGGATGAGAGATCCTTGACAGAACAGCAGGAACAAAAGGCAACTTTTCATAAAAGCTCACAAAACTTTGCCCTCTTGGACACAACTGTGTTGCAAATCCAATAGAAGCCACACAACACAGCCAAGTACAAAAAGGCTGAGGATGCCCCAGAGCCCTTTCTCCTGCCCCAAGCACCAATGTTGGCTGGCAGGGTTGCCAGCCCAACCGCAGGACCTCGCTAAGGAGAGCAGGACACACTAAGGAGAGTGTTTCCTCATCCGTGAGCCTTCCCGCAGGGCTGACAGCCCAGCCCTGCTCGCTCGCCCGGTGGACACAGCCAGCCTGCTGCAGGCACGGAGCTGCCGGCCCCCTCTGCCCCCGCCGGGCCCTGCCCACCTGGCTCGCACTTGGACGGGCTCCACATCGAAGTAGGGCCGGAGGATATCGATGTTGGCGTAGAGGCTGAAGGCCTTGGAGGCTTGTCTCTTGCCCACCTGCCACATCTGCGGAGAGAAGGGAGCGGGCAGCGGCCGGGCGGGCAGGCGAGGCCGCCGGGGCCGGGGGCGGCCGAGGGGCTGCGCTCACCTGGTCAGCGACCTGCCGGCCCAGCTGCCCCCGCAGCCCCTTCATGCCCAGGAACTCCCCGTCCTCCTCCTCGCCGGCGCCCGCCTCGCCCTCTGCCTCCTCCTCCTCCTCCTCCTTCATCCGCTGGTGCATCTCCCCCATGTCCTCGAAGCTGGAGCCCGACGTGTCGTCCATGTTCTCCATGTCGATGACGGCGGAGCCGCCACCCTGCGCCGGGGCAGACACAGCGTCAGCGCCCGCTCGGCCCGGCCCCGTCGCGCCGCCGCCGCCCCGGCCCGGCCCCACCTGCATGTTGTCCTCGAAGCCGCCCCACTCGGCTGCGGGGGCGCCGCTCCTGCCGCCGCCGCCCGCCGGCCCCGGCGCGGCCATGGTGCCCGTCCCGGCCCCGCCGCGCTGGCCCGGATGGGCGGGAACGGATGTGACGGCGGCCGCGGAGCCGCTCCCGGTGCCGGCGAGCGCCGCCCCCTCGCCCCCATGGCGGCCCTGCGGGGCGCGGACGAGATGCGGGACCGCGTGGTGCTGGGCGAGTTCGGCGTCCGCAACGTGAGTGAGCGCGGCGGGGCCGGACCGCGACCGCCCGGAGCCCGCACTCTCTCACGGCCCCGCCTCTGCCCTCTCCTCGCAGGTCCACACCACCGACTTCCCCGGAAACTACCCCGGCTACGACGATGCCTGGGACCAGCAGCGCTTCGAGGAGGTGGGTGAGCTGCGCCGGCGGCCGGGGTGGGTGTGCGGGGAGATGCGGGTTCTGGCCGGGGCTGTAGGTGGATGTGCGGGGGGATGCGGGTTCTGGCCGGGGGTGTAGGTGGATATGCGGGGGGATGCGGGCCCCGCGGCCGGCGTGACCCGCGGTGCGCGGCTCCTGCAGGCGTTCCGCGTGGACGTGATCCGTGAGGAGGGGGACTCGCTGGAGTTCGACATGGTGGGCATCGACGCCGCCATCGCCAACGCCTTCCGCCGCATCCTGCTCGCCGAGGTACCGCTGCTTGCGGGGGTGCTCGCCTGGGAGTGCCAGCTTACGACTTGCGTGATGGGGAGCGGGGAAGATCCAGCCTTTGTGGATAGCTGCAGGGTTTGGAAGAGAAAGACATGTTCATTCCGCATGTGTGCCAGGAACCCAGAAGAGAGGGCTTAGCAGCATGGGCAATGCCGCCTGTTGCACTTAAGGGTGCTGCTGGTGGTGTCTACGGGTCAGCCTTTTGGACACAGCTGTGTTGCAAACCAAGCCACATAATGCTACCAAATACTAAATGGTTGAGGATGCCTCAAAGCCCTTTCTCCTGCCCTTCACCTCTTGTCATTGATTGTTTAAAAAAAAATAGGGAAGGGGTATATGGGGTGTAAGGGTATATTGGGTCCTCTGGCTTGGCAGAAATACCTCTGAAAATAGCCTGCATGGCAGTTATTTGTCGGAGAGGAGGGACGCTCTAGCTGGCTAATCTGTTGTCATGTAGTTCAACTATCGTCTTTTACTGACTCGATCTCTTGTCTCCCTGAGGTGCCAACGATGGCTGTAGAGAAAGTCTTTGTGTACAACAACACATCCATTGTGCAGGATGAAATTCTGGCTCATCGGTTGGGCCTCATCCCAATCCGAGCTGACCCTCGGCTCTTTGAGTATAGAAACCAAGGTGAGAGTCTTGGATTAAATAGAAATTTTGAAAGTTTCCCTCAAAGTAGGAAATCAGGTCATGTGAACTGAGCAGAAGTGTGATTTCATAGAGGCTCATGGGGTTCTTCCCTTCCCAGGAGATCAAGAAGGCACAGAAATTGATACTCTGCAGTTTCAGCTGAAAATAAAATGCAGCCGAAACCCTCAGGCAGCTAAGGAATCATCTGATCCTGATGAACTATATTGCAATCACAAAGGTGAGATCTTTCTTAAAAATAGGTGCTGTTTTCTTCTTTGTGTTTTTGGTCTTGAAAGACAGGATTTGGGCTGTTCTCCTGTGCGCCCTGTGTGTGCACAGGGAGAGAGCTGATACCATTCTGCTCAACTTTTTGCCATCTCCAGTCCTGTACAGATCAGTGACCTGGTTTGAGACAGCAGCTGGCTGATGCTTGTGGCTTCTCTTTGCAGTGTACAGTAAACATATGACATGGGTGCCCTTGGGGAATCAGACAGACCTTTTTCCGGATGCTGACTTCCGACCTGTTCATGATGATATCCTCATTGCATTGTTGCGACCTGGACAGGAAATAGATGTGCTTATGCACTGTGTCAAGGGTATAGGTGAGTCCTGGGGCAGAAGGAGGAGGAATGTGAGTGCTTGGACTAGGGCACTGCTGTGTGAAGGGGAAGGGTGGAGAACTGGCTTTCCCCCTGGAACTTTAGGCCCTGGCATCCTTGCACTCTTGTTCCCTGAGGCCTGTTCTCGTTCTCGACTCTTAACTCTTCTTGCAGGTAAAGATCATGCCAAGTTTTCTCCTGTGGCAACGGCCAGTTATCGACTGCTTCCTGACATTACTCTCCTGAAGCCTATTGAGGATGAGGCGGCTGAGACATTGCAGAAGTGCTTTTCCCCTGGAGTCATTGAGATCCAGAATATCAAGGGTACTTCTTTTTTGCTCTAAGTGCTTTGATCCTTACAAGCTTTGGTTGAGACCGATTCAAGATTAGAGATAAACTTTGTAGTGACAAAACCATGTTGTGGTGTTGCCTTGCCGGTCAGCAACAGCTCATACTCTTCCGAGCCTGGTTTTATGGATGAGTGACTGCCACATGCAGATGTGTTGGGTGCTGAACTGGGATCTCCCTGAAATGCTAAGGCATTGGATATGTGTCAGACTGAGAAGTGAGCTTGCTCCTTCCAAGCAGCTGAGTGTGGAGAAGGCTTCTTGTGTCCTGCCTAGGGGTACATGCAGGCTTTGCGTTTGGGTTAGTGTTCCAATCAGCTTAGATGCAGAGGGGAACCAGGTTCTAAAACATTCCCATAAACGGGATTAAGGCACAAACCAGGCCAGATGCTGGGTCTCAAAATGATAATTCGACTTTATTTTGTAACACAAAAGAGCAGAGAGAAAGAAGGAAGATAAAAAAGTGGGAAAAGCTAAGGGTAACTGTTAAAAGCGTAGGACAGGAGTTACCACCACCATGAAGTTCTGCTGGCTTGCAAGCTGGTAGATCTGTGCTGGGCTTCTTCCCTGGTCGCCTTGTATCCTCCGAGGAACTAGCTGAACCGACAGGGTAACAGAGTGGCAGCAGCTCCCGCAGCACTCCTCAAACAGCCCCCCAGCAGTCCCCAGGCACGGCCTTAAATACCCTCACCGTGGTAGCCCCTGGATGTCCATTGGCCACTTCACCGGTATCCCAGCAAAGGTCGCCTGGTAGCAAGATGGACCCTGAGAGTCCATTGGCTGGTTCCCAATCTCCAAGCAAGATGTGCCTGGCACACTTTATTTGGGAGAGTCCTTCCCATGTTTTTTGACTGTAACAACTTTCTGTCTTTTTTGCTCATCTGCCCGCCTCTGCTAGCTTGCTAGGTGCCTCCTGGAGCTTTTTCAAGTAGCTTGGCTCCTGCAGCAGCCTAGCTGTGGCATCAAGGCTTTTTAACTCCATGCTCAAGACAATGGTGAAGCAGACTCCATCTTGTAATCAGTCCACTACAGTTACTTCTGCCTGGCTTGAGTTTCATTTTGGGTATATGCCAGTTCTTTCAGGTGGTGGCGTCCCTGCCTTTGCTGATGGGGGAGTGAGTGCCTGTTTGAGGGGTAAGCACCTGCGTGACCACAAGGCACCCATCTACTGCAATTTGCCCACCTCATTTCATCTTTTTCCCTTTAGGGAAAAAGGTGGCAAGAGTCGCCAATGCACGGCTGGACACATTCAGCAGAGAAGTTTTCCGTCATGAGGGTCTGAAAAACCTTGTGCGCCTGGCAAGAGTACGAAACCATTACATCTGTAAGTGTCCCGTTCCCCACAGAGCCCTGCCTGGTTTGTATAAACAAGAAGAGAATGGCCAGCATGTATGGCTGGGTTTCTGCCTCCTCCCACCCCCTCATCAGCATTCATACATTCATATTCCAGTGGGTAACTACTGAGGTTGTGGTTTGGTGTTGCTTTGGGATTGAATCTCTTTGTGCTTCCTGCTGGCAAATGTAAGCTGTTTGGCTGTGAAGATCTGGCTTGTTACAAGTGTGGTGTAAGGGAAGGTGAGGGACAGAAACATGGAGCCAGCTGCAGGCTGAAGCTGCCTTGTGGCTGTGTTGACCTGTGTCTCTGTGCAGTTTCAGTGGAGTCGACGGGTATCTTGCCTCCAGATGTGCTGGTGAGTGAAGCCATCAAGATCCTGATGGGAAAGTGTCAGCGTTTCCTGAATGAGCTGGACTCTGTGCCTATGGAGTGACCAGGCTGTAGATGGGAAGCATATCCCTGCACTGCTCTTCCAGGCTTCCTGCACCTGCCTGTAGAGGTGATTCCTCTTCCATAGGCAAGAGGCTTGATGCAGGCTTGCCAAGAGTCCTTGGACCATCTCTTTGGATTTGTTTTCTGTTGGTAATTAGCCTCAGTGAGGAGATATGTTAAAATAAAGGCTTTTCTTTAAAGCTGTCTCCTTCTGTGCCATTTCCAATTGTGAAACTAATACATGGAGAACAAAGTGACAGCAGGTCTAAAGATGAATAATAGCATTTATTTTAGATTGTATGCAGTATGTAAAGAGGCCTGATATGGCAGTAGGGTGAAGCACTTCAAAACAGGTCAGTGAGATTTAATGAGTTGGTATCAGTGCAGGGCTGTTTGTGGGTGTCTCAGACCAGCTCCGGCATAGGTAAGATGTCAGAGAAAAGGCTGTGCTGTCAGAGGGCTGGAGAACCTCCCTTATGAAGAAACTGAGAGGGCTGGGATTGTTCAGCCGAGAACAGAAAGTTTAAGGAAGACTTTATTCTGGCCTTTCAACATACAAAGGGATTGTGGAGAAAGACTTTTTTCCAGGGCCTGTAGTGACAGGCTAAGAGACAATGGGTTTGAACTGGAAGAGGATAGATTTAGATTGGACATATGACATTTTTTACAATGAGGGTGGAGGCAAGTTGTCAAATAGGTTGCCCAGAGAAGTTGTGGATACCCCATCCCTGGAAGTGTTCCAAGAACAGATTGGATGAGGCAACTTGGTCTAGTGGAAGGTGTCCCTGTCCAAGGCAGGGGCATTGGACTAGATGATCTTTGACAGTCCTTTCCAGCCAAAAGAGTCTATGATTCTGTGATACAGCACTGGGTTTCTCTGTGCAAAGGTGAGATTTAAAAACATGCTTGTAAGGCTGTCCCTTCTCAGATATCTCAGGGAAAGGCATTTCATCACAGGTGTTAAATTTATTTGTCCACTGTTCACCCATTCAGTGACTGGGCCGACCTCGAAGCAGAACCGAATGGTAGAGGGCAAGTGACAAAGGCCTCTCCACCCTGGGAGGACTGGCAAGGTAGTCTAAGTGGTGAGCACTATTGTTACTCAGCACAGGATAGATCTTGGCTTGTGAAAGTCTCTTGACAAGCTGATGAAGGGACTGGAATTTCAGAAATGTCTGGGAGTTACTGGTGTGTCCCAGTTGCTTAAGTCAATTCACACTGTAATGCTAGAATTCAGTGTAGCAAATGGTTATTTCACTGTTAACGTTACAGGTGGTAAGGTGAATATGCTGTAGGGGAGAGGTACAGTTGGCATCTTGGCTCCAATCCCAACCTGTCCCATGTCACTGTTTTGTTTCAGACCCATGCATGTGCTGGGTCTGTCTATGTGTGTGTATGTATAGATATGTATATATACACATAGATACACGTGATATATATACACACACACACACATATATATATACATATATATAGATATACACATATATATATACACACACACATGTACACAAACATAGATATCTATCTCACAAGATACTGCTCTTCCCAGCAATAGCTAGGGTTTGGCTTGCAGGCTACTTCAGTAGCATATACACCTCTCTGTGCTACTGCTTCACATATTTCCCATGCTGCCTATTCACCTCATGCTACAAACTGGGACCCAGAATTAATATAAACTAGCTGTGAGTGACATGTAAGTACTTTAAAATGCAATTTACCCCTCACCTTCTAATTTAACTACGTAGTCTGCAATGGTTCATCCCCTCCTTGATAATGAATGTTGACTACCAGCAAAGGAGCCCCCTTTTTGGTAGGTGGAATAAGGAGTGCTGAGCAATCCTTAGGCAGGCAGCGTGGGCAGACCACAGGCCTCAGATCTTACTGAAACAGACAAAAGAATAAAAATGAAACATGACACTGCGTGTATGAAACTGGAATAGCTTTATTGACATTCAGAGGTGTAACACAACCAGTTCAGAGACAGCTTCGGATTTAAACATTCCTACAAAAAAGGTTTAAAATCCATTTTAAAAAACTCCCTTGTGTCTAGCATGAAGTCACAGAATGTTAAAAATATCACAACACAATAAATACACCCAGTCTTTGCTAGAGCCAGGAGCCATGTTAGCTCAGAGGTTAAAGTCTGAGGCCAGGAGGAAAGTAGAGGGTGTGCTGGTGGAACAGCAGGGGCAGGAGGGTGAGTGGATTCCCAAGGCCTGCTCTTCCTATCTGCACTCCCACACCTCCGAACTCCAGCTTTTTTGTCCAGTCTGTCCATGTTGAGACACCACTTCTCTGCCTACCACTACTTATTACTTGTTCTGCCTCCTGGATGGCAAAACTGCCTGCTACCTCTGGACTGACCCTCCCAGCTCCTGTGCTAACACTAGGATAGATTGTGTGAACCAGCTTTGCAGACTGGAGTGGCTTCATAGAGTCCCACCTCAGCTAGAACCCAGTTTCTGACCTGGCTCCGCCCTGTGAACTGCAGTGTAAAGCCCACTCCTCCTGCCCCACCATGCAATTCTGTGAGAAGTACCAGAGTGGGTAAAACCAGGGGCTAGTCATCTCCACTGCAACAGGGTGAGGAGATCCCTTTTGGATTGCAGGTGCTTCAGATATTGGTCCAAATTTTGTGTACCCTGCACTGGCCAAGTTCTAGTCTACAGGGTGTGGTAAAATGAAAAAAAATAATTAAAAAAAATAATCTGCCCTGCTCCCCCTGAGAGATGTCCAAGAAAGGCTGGCACAAAGTAAAAGCCTTCCCTTTGGCTCTGGGTAGAACAAACTGTATGATCATATCTATACATATATATGTATATATATATATATGTGTATGACAGTGTCTGCCTCTTTCTAGAGAGCAGTTGCACCTTAGAAAGGCTGATCTCATGGGAGATCCTAGAGCACTGCTAGGCTTCCTGGCACACAGCCCTCAGCCCAAGGCTCAGCATCCTGGAGGGAAACGGATTCATCAGAATACCAGTCCACTAGGGACGAGTGCTGATAAACGTGACAGGAGTGTCCGATGTGTTCCCTACAAAGCCTGGCTACTAGCACCCAGAGGAAGATTAGGGTAGCCCCTTTTCACATGGCACACTACTCTGCCTTTTGCATTAATCCTAAACCCCAAGGGATGAAGAGGTGGAGCAAGAGTGACCCAAGGCTACAAGATGACCAGGCTTTACCTAATGGAGTCTATAGGCTCAGCTCCCACCTTGCAGAGAAGCAGAGGTCTAAAAATGCTCATCCAACGGAGGATAAAAAATCAGGGGAAAAGTTTAACAGACTGCTTCAAATGCCACTGCAGGTCCCATCCCAGTGTAGGGAGGAGAATGGGACAGGACCCGTAAAGGGCTTTATTCAGACGAATGCTTGTGGAGGCGTGACAAGGAGAATCTAATGTGCTTACTAGGAGGAGACAAAATATAAGGTAGGGGAGGAGATGGTTGCAGCATCCCAGGCTCAGGGTTCAAAGAGTACGTTGAAGCCCTCTCCATCCTCGTTTTCTAGCACATCTGTCTCCAATGATGGCTTCGCCTTTTTGAAGAGAGATGGAAGGTTCCGGATATGAACCTCCTTGCGGAACTGCTCCCCAATGGGCTTCTGCAGAGGACAGACAGGCAGGCATCAGTCATTACTGTCTTCACACCCCCACTCAGGGACAGCCTGCTTGCAGATCAGAGCAGACCCCAGGTTCTGAGCAACTCCTAGGCCGGGACCCTGTGATTGCATTTTGAGGAGTCTCAGACCTGGCCTTTCACAAGTGCCAGGGCACTGAGGTAACCACCAGCATACCAGCTCCCCAGCTTCTAATCCAAGGCCAAAGGTTCCAACACCACCATCCTCACAAAAGCCTAGAGATGACCCAACAGCCTCATTCAAATGTTTTATCACCCTGTTCCCTTGGGCACCCTTGTGCAGGGTACCCACTGCCTCTCAGTGAATGGCCATTGATAGAGGGGCTGCTCAGTCTGTGCTGCCATCCCTGCTGTACCTCCAGGGTGAAGAGAGACAGAACAAACACTAAGAACATGCTGCAACAGCCTCCTTGCTGGGAAGCGGGGTGGCTGGCGAGAGGCAGGACACCCCATCACTTCTGCAGCATATAGGTGTGAAACAGACCAGGTTAATTTTCCTCTAGGACATCACCTACCCCAATGCAACCTGTGATGAGGCGCTTGAAGTGATCCTTCCGGCGCTTGTCTGCCACCTTCTGCAGTGTTGGGTTGAGAAGCTTTGAATCAAACTGCTCCAAAGAGTCCAGCTGGATATCTGGGATCTGCTCCATCACTGCCTTCAGCTCAGCGTAGCGAGGGCGCTGCAGGGAGAAGTACAATTAACATGGCTCTGCTAGGCAAGCAGCCCTGCAGGGCTCCCCTGCCCCTACCCAAGCAGGCATGGGATTAGTTTTCCACCAGCCCCCAGCCAACCTCACATTTGGCTGAAGGACAGGATTTCTCACCAAGGCCTCGTAGATCTGAAAAGCCAGGTTGACAAGAGCTGCCATGCAGCCATCGTGCTGCCCGTGTACCTGTAAGCCCCTCAGCACGCTTGTGAAAAACCAGGACACGGCATCAGGCAGGAGGTTTCCTGGAAGCACCTGGGGAAGAGGCACTGTCAGCACTGCAGCAAGATACCGATACATGACTGCATTTCTGCAACAGCTCGGTCTTCCTGAGGGAGAAGGTGCCCAGGGGTGAAGTTGCCATGCTTCTCACAACATCCAGAGCTTCGTCTCCCAACCCTGCCAGTACTAACCCCTTCTTCCTCCCAGAGGTACCTGTTTAAGTAGTGGCCAGCAAAGCTGTGTTGTGGTTCTTTGGCAGGACAAGGTGTCCTTCCAGGAGAGGGATGTGTAGGCAGTGATCAGCACTGCAGTGCAAACATCCTGAAAAGGAGTCAGAGAGGACCAGTCAGAGGAACTATTTCCCACTTCCAGTGTTCAAACCTAAAGGGAACCAAGAAGCAATCCAGATACCCTGCAAGAGCTCCTAAGGGCTATCTTCTGAGAATCCTGCATCCTGAAGGTGCTCAAAGGCACCCAGTGTGCACCATGATAACCATGAGGGACCAATGTCAAGCACACCTGCTCCCTTCATCTCCCTGGGAAAGGCCCCGGAGTACTCATGGACTCCCATCAGCTGCTACTCTTAAGTCACTGCAATAGCTTCTGAGGCATCCACAGCAGAGGAGT